CCCAAGTGGATTACGTTCCTACTAAACGCTATATAACAACTCCAGTACGACGAAACAATAATACAAAAATCAAAACTAATATATAAATAAAATATTTTCAAGTTTTACGGTATGACCAAAATGAAAAGGCATTAGCTTTGAAAGTCGATTTTTTATGATTAATTTTAGGCAGTAAACAATCTATTTTTATACAAAAGCCCACAACCTGTTTGGAAATCTGAGCAGGGGGTCAAACGTGAGTAAGATTATAAGTTTATAGACTCTATACAAATTTGTGATATATTGATCCATTTATATTTTGCTAATTATTATAACAATTAATTTGGGAAACACCTAAACCTGCAATTTGTAATCCTGAAGTCTCAATTAAACCAAACTTCTTCTTTCGCAAATATAAAGCCCAATGACAAAACCAAAAATAACAAGTTACTAAAATTTTATATGTATATCAATAGGTTTTATGTTTTTGAATGACATTTTTTTTCATTGTTACTAAAAATAATTTTCGTAATATTTAAGACAGCTTTTGATTTTTCAAACTTAAATATGTTCTCCGGTTAACCGTCCAGACCCAGCGAAATATTAATAAAACATATTTTTAAGGCAATGTTCTTTAATCTAACTATATATATAAAATTACATATTTCAGTTACATTTCTTAAAAGTTTTTCTCATAAAAATAAATTTTTTAAAGTTATTAAAATTAAACACATCAATCTGTTTTATTTTAACTTTTGTAGGCTTTAACACACTTTTGTAGGACTTTTTCGTATGCAAATCGCCTCATATTGAGTGTACTTCAACATGTGCCGGGTTACTTGCCACACCAGAGCACCTGATGAAGTACAATAGACATGGGAGACAGTTGATACACAACACATGGGATTTGTTTCGAGGACTCGACTGAAAATGAAGATATATGTCTGGCACCACGCGCGCTACTTCAGGTACCTGACTGTATATGAAAACCAGCCCCGGTCACTGATTAGCGCGCAAGGTAGGAGACTTTTCAGTTGGGGAACATCATATGTACTGGAGCTGGAGTTGAAGATGTAGATAGCCAAGCCCAGTCAGGTTTTTTTTCCTTTTTTTTGTTTGCTGTTCCTGAGACAGATGTTTGGCCGCCTGGCAACAAAACTGCAGCAAATGGCGAACCCCTCCCCCTTTGTTTTTGGGGTGGGTGAGGGGTATGAGAGACGACCTTGTGCCTGGTATTTTAGGTCCCCGCTCTAGGGTTAACGATCTCTGAGAACTTTTGTAGTTGTACGCGCTGATGATGACGCCATGCGAATTTTATGCAATAACAATACCAAAATTAGTCATATGAGACTGGAGAACAGGAACCAGGGGCGTACCTCGTATCTAGAGTAGAATTTGTGGGGAACTATTTGATTTATAAAAAAAAATTATTGCAATTGAAAATGATATTTAAATTTTTTGATTGAAACTATGGGGTTGTAGTTGGTAATATTTGAGTTTGAGGTTTTATCATAATTTTCCTACCCCCTCTTTGGCGACGCATCTGACTGGAACTTGGAGTGCTAATGACCACATAGGACGTGACGTCATCTGTCGGCGAATTATTACATTTCATTCAGCAAATTCTCTTTTTGCCTGCGTTTTCGTCTGGCAGACCCTTGATATTCTATATTTGAAACGCTGTAAAGAGACAAGCAAAAAGAAATGAAAAGCCAAAGTAGAAGACGCAAAAAATGAGCATAAAAATGCGCGAGAAGAGGGAAGTTGCAAAAGAAAAAAAAAGAACCGGCGTTTTAAGCTCTCCCGTTCTCTCTCTCTGTTACTAACCGCAGCTACGTGCGTGATCACTCACACACACTCTAGTACACGGGGCATACACACACTGCTGAGACACACACGTGCCTTCCACACATTTGCGAATTCTCCTTAATCTTTGGCTGTGTGGGTATATACATTTTTGCAAAAGTATTTTTTAACTGCCTTTTCGGCTGTCTTCTTTTTTTACAACACGCTTCATAAACTTGCGATCGCCAACAGCTTTGGACTGTGAATAATGGCAAATTTCTGCGCCACAGCCGTTTATATATATGTATATGTATATATGTGCAGTATATAAATGAGCTGCCATTGCTTGGGTGGGGCATTCCTAACCTCAAAAACTGTCTTCGTTTATGTGTGTGTTGTGTCTCTGCCTTTCTGTCTGTAAGGTGTCTCTTTTCTCTTTTTCTGCAGCAAAAATGCAGCACATGCTTTTTTTTTCTAGCCAAGCCGATTTTTTGTTTTTGCCCTTAACCCTGAGAAAAAAAATGGAAGTCCCCTGCTAAAAATTCGATCACTAAATCATCACACACACACCCACAAATTGAGCTTTGTCTGGGTAAAAAAAATCTAAAATTAATATTTGAGCGACACAAAAAAAGTTCGCCACCAAATACAAAAAAAGCTACGTTTGTATGGGTTAATATGGAAATATGTAGAATCATGTGGTCGTCATTTGCGTCATTTTTTCTCGTAGTGTAGCGAAAAAAAGCTGCCTTGTGATATCAAAATGCTAAAAATAAGCGTCGCTCTTTTTCTGCTCGTCTCTTTTGTGTTTTTTTTTTATGTTCTTTAGTTCCTTTTGGTAGAAAAACCCAGAAGCTCCAGAAACCACGTTGAAGTATCGCCTTCTCTTTCGCTAGAATTTCACAATATGTTTCAGTTCCGTTCGGGATTTTTTTTAGCGAGTGTCAACTTCCGTTGCATTTTCCTTGGCTTTGCCTCACACACGCACACACACGCACAATCACACACACACGCGCGTTGACTAAGTTTTTAGTGAATATTATTTCTTAAATGCCTCCGCTCTCTTTTTCTCCCACGTTGCTGTCTCCCATTTGGTGCGAAACGAACGACTGTGCCAAAGCCCAGAAATTGTCTGGCCTTTTATTTTATACGGCTATGTGGCCCGGCCGATTCGATTGCGTTTTTCCTTGCCCACAGAGATAAACCGAAAGTCGGCGAAAAGGCCAAACAGCCGAAGAGAGAATGGCAAACCGCGTTTGCCGGCTGCGGGCGATCAAATGCTCGAAGTCTCCGTCAAATCAAGAGCCAAAAGCGCGAATTTTATTCGCAGACACCGCCGACGTCGACGTCGCCAGCGGCAGCGACTTCGGCAGAGGTGCTCTCTTTCGCCCCTGCTGTTGCCGTTTCTCTCGCACAGTGGCGCCGCCACCGAAACGAGGGGGGTGGCGCACAAAAGGGAGCTGTCGCTTCGCCGAGACGCTGCTGCTGCTTCCTGCTTCCTCTTCCTCACCCACATTCACATGCAACACTCACACACACAGAAGCTGCAAGTGCATATGGGGGTACAGTGGCCACTATATGCAGTGAAAAAAAGCTATAAAAGTTCTAAAAACTGGGTAAAGAAATGTTACATGTAATTAAGATTCTGAACTTTGGAATTCATTTCCACTTCCGAATTAAGTAACTAAGTAGAATGTTAAAAAAATATTAAATATAGTATGTGAGAATTTAAAGCACTACTGCTCCAAAATTACCAAATTTGGGTGAACACGTATGAAGAGTAAGAAGAAACATTGACCTTTGCTCACCTTACTAAATGGCTTAATTTAATTGGTATTTGAATTTGACTAAAAGAAAAGGAAATCAAATGTTATTTTTCCTTACAATTTTCAATTTACGCGGGTCATTTATTAACACAAGCTAGGAAATTGTTGTCATTTTTAAAATAAGTTAGCTTTATTGAATATCCACTGTATATACATTTCGCAGCCTTTATTCGAGTTCCTTTGTTATAAAACTGCACCACCATTACACAGACTGCAATATAAAGCTCGGCACAGTGGGTGGAACCGGTAGTTAAAACACATGTTATAACGCCACGCTTCATATTTAAGGATTATACAATCAACAAGGGTTTTTTAAATATTATTTGTAAATTCACAATATAATATTTAATATTATATCCCAATTATAATTGGGATGTCAGGAAATAAGTGAGATACAAATAACAAATAATGCTACTAGGTGCGGCTAATGTTGTTATCGACAATACTTATAAAAATGTATTTTAAGATTTTGCGGAAAGGAAAAACAAATAAATAATTTAATTTTCTAAAATGTATTTCTACAGATTAGTTTAATGTTAAATGTGCACACAAAATAAGCTTATCCAAAATCATGAGATATTTGTGTAGTAGAAGGTCTGACTAAGTTTTGATTTGGTCACAGTTTTTGTTTCTAAACCTTTTACTTCTTGGAATTATTTTTCTATGATGTTAACTTGAAACATATTCTGATACAACATGCTATTAAAAAAGTGTCGCAATTTTTGTATTATTGGCAACGAATTTGTCATAAGTTTATAGTAGTTCAGCTAGTTTATTTTGTTTTTGACTACAAATTATATTTATTTTTTTAGATTAATAAAATATGTTTCACTATATATGTAAGTTATTATACTGAGAAATACAACGACTCGGTGCTATAACGAAAATGGGGAAGTTATTTCTTCCTTTAATTGCTTTGTTAGGCTTCTTTTTTTTAATAATTAAAATTTTTGGCGTTTGTTGGAACTCATCGTTTTTATTTGGATCCAAAATGTTAAATTTTTAAGCCAACTTATAATATCCCACTGTGCTCTCTTTCTTTGCCTTCTGGAGCTGCTCTCTTTCCGTCTTTCTCTCTCAGGAGCTCTCTGTCGCTCTGTAACGCTGCTGCCCCCGTTGCATATGTATGCTTTTTGGCTGCACACCGCCACCCCCCGCCCCACTACTGCTGTCTGGTCTGCCCACCTCTCCCCATCCCCCCTTCCACCGCCCCTCTCACCTGTCTCTCTGGGCGAAGCGACAATGTCAATGCGCTCGTCTGTATGTGTATTTGGCCATGTTGCCACAAACACATACACTCTGTCCTCCTTGACTCACCTCTATTCCCCTTCTTCTTTCTCCTTTGGGCCTTTGGTTTCTCCATGATTCATCTTAATCTTAAGGCAAGACTTTGATCGTAAACCGAGTATATTTTTCTTATCTTTTTTTGTTTTTTTTTTTTTTGTTTTGAGAATTTCACTATGTAACTTATGTTCACTAATTATTACAATTCTTAACTACCAACAAGTACAGACACAGACACGTACAAATACTATAGGCTGGCCTTATGATCTACAAACGAATAATAAAAATTAAGATAAAGCTCCTAAAACACAATCCTTCAATCGTTGTAAATTTAAATATACCCATGGTTTAAAATATGTCTTTGCAATAATTACTTTACATTAAGGCAAATATCGGTTGAGATAAATGCAAATAATGATGATTGGACTACATGGTAATATTATTTATACTGCCTCTCTTGGTCACCAAAATGTAGGGTATTACTAAGATTGGCGAGGATTGAAGATTTGTCTATTAAGAAGTCTCTACCCAAAAATAAAATCTCAGAAATCAGGAATTCGGGGCCAAAGATTCGTCCTCGTCATCGGCGTCCGCAAAGCATGCTCTAGCATGCTTCCAACCACGTGGCTATGGAGATGCACTTGGTTGGACATTGATGAAAGGCTGCCATCTTAAACAGGAGTCGTCTATTTTGGGGAAGGTGCCTCTTCGTTTTACCCTCTCTTCGTACTCATCCAGGACATCCTAGGAAGAAGTAAGGATCAGCATGGGTAATCCATTGGAAATCTTAGAACATACCTGTTTTTTGAGGACTATGTGCTTCCCTTTCCAGTACTTCATCATGCCTAAAGCTTGAAGAGTGCTCACAATGTCGTATGAGTAGATCGCCATTTCCTTCAGATCAAAATATAAAAAGAGGAACGGTAAATTTTAATTAATTAATTTAATATAAATGATAAATAGTAAAACTTTATATTTTTTAGGAATATTTTATTTCGTTAATGACAATCACAAAAATTATGTTAAAAAAATGGTTTTGGCCACTTTTTAAGGCATATACATTTTATTTAAAAATAGTTCTTTTATCTCACACAGTTAACATAAATTGTATTTTAAATTAACAAAAAAATGTTATTTAATTTGTATGTCTTATGCAAATTTAACACCAGTTCAAAATCTTAATATGATTTAAAACAAAGTTTTACTTTTTATTTTGACTAACTGTTGTAGCTTTTTAACCAAATATCAATTTGAACTTACCTGTGAAACATCCTTAATGGTGAGCGTGTTTCCCGACCGATTGCACAGGTAGTCCAAAAGAACATCCTTCCAGTAAGAGCGGTACGAGATCAGGCCGAGATCGGATAAAGGTTTCTCCGGCGAGCCTATTTTTCCCTCCACACGGGTCAGCAGATAGCCTGCAAGTAATGCAGAAAAGGTACGGATGCGGGTTAAAAATAGACCCCGAGAAGTATGCTACAGATAGCAACGGCAAATAGGAGTTTTTCAAGTTCCGGCGTATTATTTATGGTGACCAACTTTGGTCCCGCCTCCTGCTTTGCCTGTGTGTGCGGGTGTTTCAGTGTGTGCGTGTTGTGTCTAGACAGGATTCCGCAAAGTATTCAAGGGGTACTTGCGGGGAGTGTGGGAAAGGGGGTCCCCATTTAAACATCGTTCTGGCGTACATTCAACCCAACGCCACAGTGTCACCCCGAAAGAACCCACCCCAAAAAAATTATATTCTGGATTCTAGAGCCGTCTGGCAGCAACAATTCCCGTCTCTAGATAACAACAACTACACAGAGAAGAAGCAAGAACTGCAACAACAATGAGTGCAAGCCAACTTAATTGACGAGGACGAGAGAGCGAGGACACAACACAAAATCCACTGAGGTAGGCTCGGAAAAAATCCGTTAGTAAAAGAGCGGTATGCTAAGAGGAGCAGCGGAAAAGAGGAGCAGAGCTAGAGGAGCACTAAGGACGTAGCTAGTTTAAGTTGTCAATACTATGCAACTTAAGGGGGGTTGAATTGCAAAAGCCACTTTTAAATTTGCCTTAGTTTTTGTTAGTTCATTTTCTTTTACTTTTTATTTTTAAAAATATTTTAGGCAATCTAAATAAAAATGTAATTTTAAGGACTATCCTTTGAAGAAGCAGTTGTGATTTAAATGTAACTATTTTGTAACTTAAAAAAATGTTTATAATTGTCAAAAATTATTTGAGTTTTAATCTTAAACTTCACATATACATTGTTTTGGATCTTCAAATAGAAATAGACTTTTTTTTAAGAAAAGCCTAAAAAAAAAACTTTGTATTGAAGTTTCATTTAATTTTTTCAACAAAAACAACCATTTTTTTTAAGATTATTTTTGTATCCTTTTTGTGGCACCCATGGCACCAGCTGTGAACGGAACGTAGGAGAGCAGCAGGACTCACTCAATGGCAGACAGCAGACACAGCTGAGGAAGCAAGAAAGAGAGAGCGAGAATGATAAGAGAGAAGGGAGCAGGAGAAGAATCCTGCTGACTGACTGGACGAGCGCAGGGTTGAACGCACACAAGCAAAGGCAAACGCAGAGCTTAGTTTTTTGCACGGCTGAGAACAGTGGAGCAAAAATGAATGAGCTTTTGAATGCACTTATAGCTATTTATTTATTAATTTATTTAAAACAAAATAAAATTAAGAACAAATTTATTTTAACTTCTGTTTAATTTTAATAGACAAGTTAGTACGACTCATTATTAGGATTAAGTGGAACTTCAATATTTAGTTTTGTCTGAGTTTTTAGATGTGACTGAAATAAATAAATAAAAAATATAAAGATGATCAGTTTTCATAAAAATTACGTATACGAAATGTATGCCAGTTAGATTTTACTTTCACGCAGTGCTGTTGCTATCGTTCAAATAAATGTCAAAATGTAGAAAGTAAGAGAATCTTTTTTTCTTTTTTTTGAAAGTATCACCAAGTCTGCACCACTTGGATAATAAAAAATAATAATCAGGACAACAGTACGAATGAGTGATAAGCTTTAAGTGCCAGTGCTCATTTTTGTAATAAATATCTTCTGGTATGCCTTAAATGCACCAATGCGCACATTATAGGGGGGAAGGAGTAGGATTCTACTATTAATTGACAGTTTACAAAAAATTTTTACATTGGGCTTTATCAAAAGGTAAGATGAACACTAGTATGAAGTATTAGAATCCTTTAAACAAGATATTATCTGACACTGTGCGCAGTTTTATGCATTTCGAGGGGGCAGCCCCTTGTCCTGCTCCTGCCGCGACTTCTGGCCACAAGAGGGCGTTTTCGGGTGGCACTTTGATTTCTTTGTGCCGCACTTCGTCTCGCTCCTTTCCCTCTTCCTCTTTTTCGCCGCGATAAATCTATGAGCGGCGAGACGGGAAAGCGAACGAAAAAGAAGAAGTGTGAGTGGAAACGTCGAGACGACTTTATCGATCCATTTTGATTCGCACATTTGTCTTCTCGCTCGCACTCGCCGCTGACGCAGCACAATTGTTGTTGCATACCCACAGGCGTTGCAAACGAACAGTAATGAGTTAAAGAATGAAAATCTACGCTAAAATGTGCAAACGAGTACGGCGACGTCGACTTTAACTCAAATTAGCAAGGCTCTAATTATTATTTCTATGCATTTTTTCTTGCTTTTTGTGTGTGGAAAGCAGTGAGTAATGAGCAGCGAGAGAGCGAAACAAAGAGAGAGAGTAACCGTTACTCGCTCTTTTGTTCGCCAAAGAGGACGACGCCCTTTCATTGTGACCTGTCCTGACCTTTGTTGTCTGCCGCCAACAGTTGTTGTTTTTTTTGCTCTTCTGGTGTTGTTGTGTCTGCTAAATTGTAGCTACAGTCCAACTTCTATAACTCGGACTATAAATATTTAGCTTAAAAGTTCAAAATTAAGTTTTCATAAGAAAGATATACAACTATTATTTGAAACTACAAGCACGAAAATTTCAGGGAAATAAAAACATTGTATACATTTACTTATATTTTTATTTCTTCTAATCAGGTTTATTTAAATTCTCTAACTGCCTAACTTAACAAATTAGTTCAACGCTTAATAATTGAATTTGTAGTTCGAAGTTGATGTTCAAGAAGTTAAATGTTTTGTAAAACTTAAAACAAAAATAAGATTAAAAAGTTTATAATGAAAGTTTCAGTTAAAGACTCACGACTGTAGTCTTTGTGCTTCTGTGGGACCTCAAAAAGTTTAAGCGGCACGTTTCGTATATTTTTGGCAACTTGGTTGTGGGTTTTTAGAAAGTTTCATTAATTAATGCAGTAGGTGGCAACCCTTGCGCACCCCTTTAAGTTTGGCCTCCTCATTTGCATTTTGCGTGCTGCATTTATTACACCTGGACATAAATGCTCTATGACCATCTCGCTCTTACACACATGGTTAGTAATGTTTGATTTTTGGAATGTCTGGTGGGTTAAGTTAGCCCCTGTCTGTCTGCAAGTATTCCTCCAACCTGCCGTGTTCAAAATAACCAATTCCAGTTAATGATGACGAAAATTATCTGCAAACCGGCTTGGTCGCTCATACATACAACAATATAAATATTAACTAGAAAACGACTTAAAGAAGAGGTACATTAAATGTTTTTAACGTCTGTAGAGTTCAAAAGCAAAGAAGTTAGGAATCTGTGAAAAATCCAAATTATTTAAAACTAATAAAATAAAATGAGCCGGTAAAACTCTTTGAGGTTGGAGAATTTTAACAGAAAATTTGGATGGTCTTACAAAAATTTGTCCTTGCTTGGTTTTAACCGAAACAATATATTTTTAATTAATTTTTTAATAAAAAATTTTCAAATTTGGTTTAATAATTAAGAGGATAATTAATTTAAGCTTATACAGTTAATTAGGTTTATTCTCAGAGGTCGTTTATATAGCAATTTTGTCTTTAACATTATCGCTTGAAACCCTTATTTCAATATTGAATCTAATAAAACAGAAATCAAGTTAAACTAGTTTTAACAATTTGTAATAGTATAAACGATCTAGCATATTCTAAGCCACATACAATGATTGGCAGAACATAAGTCTAGACATTTAAGCTAACTTTTATAAGCGTATTGTAATAAACTAGATTTTCTTAAGATAGATTAGATTAATCAATTATTTTCTGTGCAGCTTACTCGTTCTCTCAGTAGCTCTTTCTTTCTCTCTCTGACCATTACGCTTTCTGCCGGCCGGCACTTGGTTTTGTATCTGTGTGTGTGTTTGTGTCTGTGTAAGGTCAATGTCGTTTCGCTCACTCTTTCGTTCGTTCATTACCGCCCCAAGCCCCCCTTTTGCCCACACCCAAGCCTGTGCATGTATTGACATTACATAGACATCGCCTCTGCCGACGTCGCTGCCGGCGACTACGCCATTGCAAATGTAAATGTATGACTCAAGACTCTCTTTGTCTTTTCAGCTCCCTAATCCAAACCACTCTTTTTTTTTTAATAATTTTGTACTTAGTTCATTTTTTTTCGGATTGTGTCTGTGTTTTTTATTGTCTTGTCTGTGGGCTCGGATTAATTTTAAACAATTTTAGTTGCAGCCACTAAAAATTACTTATCCACCTGTGTGTGTCTACGTTTAATTGATGCAGAAATTGCATGTTCTGCGCCTGAAAAAGAAGTGGAGGAAAAACTGCAATTGGAAAGCTAAGCCGAAGTCTCCTTCATGTTTGGTTTTTCTCATGCAATGATGATTATATTTCACACACCTGAACACCACACACACATATACCAATGACTCAGCTGAAGAAGAAGAGGAACAAAGATTCAATAAATCCAAGAAATTTTTGTGTCCAATATACTTTTCGCTAACAAGCCTCATTAAAACTTAATTTCATTGGAATCCCAGTTACTTATTTGGATCACTTTAATGTTTCAGTTTCACAGAAAAAATAACTCCCTGAAGGCCAATCAGTCGTTATTAAACAGCCCTTTTGATTGGTTCAAGATTACAATAAGGATTTTAAATATGGTTAATTTTAAATGATATTATTTATTGGAATTGCTTCATCCATGCAATACAATTACCAAATATAACATCAACAGTTTGCTTTCGTGCTAAAAAAATTTAAAAAATATATTTTAGGTCTATCGCAAATCCTAACTGTGTATGACTGGATATGGACGATCGGAATTTTCAATATTTGTTTAACATAACATTAACATGTAAAACCCGCATAGGAGAATGATTTTTTAAAGCTTATTGTTTTTTGGTTTCTACGATAAATTTTCCGATTGAGTTCAGTTGCAGTTTTAAGAAATTTTCTTTACTGTTTTTGAAATAAATGATTAACTTGATTAATTAATTCCATATAAACAATTTTTTTGTTTGCGTTGTTATTGGTGAAAGAAAATGGGAATAACAAACTCAAAAAAATAGACATAACTATTCATTTTTTTCAAACTACGTATATTTAAGTTACATTAATGGATTCTTACATATATATACACTGATCATAGATCACGATAATGTTCGTTAAATTCTCAATAAAAAATAAAAGAAACCCATTAAACTTAAATTCATGTTTAACAACGAGTCTAGCAAATATTTATAATGTGTAATTAAAATGTCACAAATAACGAAGAAGACGAAATAAGGACTGTAAAACAGTCCATTAAAATGGTTTATAAGGTGTGATGTGACCTTTAGTTTAAAAATTTTGTAAGGTCCAAAATTTTGTACTTACTGAAATCGATGAGTAATCTCCCGTAACCTTTTCTCTGATATGGCGGCAATGTTAAAATACACGAAACATTGTAAAACGAATTCTTCTCCTGCAGAAAGGGAATATGCTGCAAAGATAAGAGGAAAGCGTTGAAAATGATTAAATAATGCAGAAATACAAAATAGGTCCAGATAAAGCATTTCGCTAATCCAGGTAAAAGTAACTAAAGATTATGCTTACTTATTGTTGAAATTGAATCAATTACAAATATTTAAGAACAATGGCAGACGGAAATGGAGTGGGAAAGTCAGTCGGTGAGTTGGGTGAATCCGCAAAGGGTATAAGGGGAAAACTCGAGAGTTGGGCGATCAGACAGACATTTTCCAGACAAAAGAAGAGGGGAAATGGGCGCTTTTGCAAGTGGTATAGATGATGGCAACATTCATCTGTCGCTTTTGGCTTTTTTCGGCAGTTCAATGACCAGCAAAATTAAATGAATCGATAGACAGTCAGCACAAGAGACACTCGAAGAGAGAGAGTGAGAGAGAGAGAGATAGATGGCTGCAGGCAGAAGGACAGAGATGGCCAAAATATAGCGAGAGAACTGTGCGTAAATATGTAAACATACGCATATAGCTGCTGCAGGAACAGGACGAGAAATACCAACTGGGGGATCGGGATATATACGCAAGCCAGACTGGCTCGTACATGGATATAGTATGGCCATGCCAAGCCCTCTCCTCTTCTCATGGTCATTGCCAAAAAAACAATCCCATGGAGAATGCACAGAGCAAAATTATCACCATATCGATGATAATTAATTCCTTTTAAAATTGTTTTAAAACATGTACAACACTATGCTACGCAAGATGAAAAGCTATTATTTAAGGGATCATAAATAAATGATCTAAATAATACTAAATACTCCTAAAAGAACTTCAAACCTTATTTTTAGATGTGGTGAACAATATTTTATAATTATCCTTTCATTAAACTACATATTTTATGTTAAAAATGCAGCCAAATTCAATGCACTCCAGATAAGAATATAAAATAAAGAAAATACAGTTTATTAATCTTTTAAATCCAAATTTTACTTGTACCTGATTATTTCATTAAAATTACAAAAATTACATTAAAAACTTTAAGTCTCAATAAGAAGGGTTTAAAATAATCATTTTTTATTTCCTGTGTGGGATCTGGAATCTGGCAACATTTCGGAAATTCATTTATATGTACACTGCGGGTTTTTCATTTTGATTTTCCCTTTGTAGTACGCCTGGTTTTTGTTTTCTGAGGTCTGTTTTTTTTTTTTTGGTTTTTTGGTTTTTGCTCGTTTTTCTTTTGTCTGCCTTGATGTCTGGGAACGCAACCACATAGCAGCGGAGTAGTCCCCGTTTTTCCCAATCTGATCCCCCGGTAACCCCCAGATCCCTCATGCCGAATTCTCCTTGGCCCGGGCAACCGCTGTTTTTGTGGAGCAGGCGCAGACGCAGACGCAGAAATTCCCGGACCCGGCCCAGAGGTGCACGACCTCAATCGTGTCCAACGCACAGTACAACCCACAGCACAGCATCCGAGCACCGGAGTGGAGTGCCCTGACTCCCATTCCCAGTCCGACTCCCTTCTCCAATCCTCGATGTCTGGCTGCTGTCTGGACCCCGTTTTCGAGTCGTCGAGTTGGAGGTTAACTGCGGCACAAAGGATTGCCGAAAATTATCACTGTCGAATAAAAAGGGGTAGGGTCCTCACTCGAGTTTACACGCAGTCTTGTTTGGAAATGCAGTTTCGTGATTTGGGGAGTAGCATAAAATGATTTAATTCGTACAATGACTAGTCAATTCACGAATGATTTTTCAAATTGGGTTAATGTTCATATTTTGTTTGATCTAAAGATGACTTCTTCAACCGAAATATCCCCAAATTAAACAATGTTTTATAATTCCTTTTAAATTATATTACTAAATGTTAAATGTTCCTACAAAAATAATACATAAAACATAAATTACAGCAAATATTTTTGTCTCTATTTAAAAAAAGTAAAATTTGGAGCGGTTTTATTTGGGGGAATTTAAAACCAAATAAAACTCAAAAGAAATTAAATATTCTCAAATTCAGCAATTTTGGTCATCTTTCCAATTCATACATAAATGTACCTACTACCTAATTATATTAAATATCAGTTTAATTACTTTCGACGTAACTAGTATTTCATATTTTTCCACTACTATTATATTTGAAAATGGGTTTAAATTTCTCCTTTTGTTAACATGTCCTTTTTTTTCTAAATTATTTCAGGGACTTGTACCAACAAAGCTAAATTCGTGTTTAGGTAGTAACGAACTTATGAATGCCGCTAGCAGGAACGTAGTAAATATATGTAAACTTGTAGTATGTGTAGAAACTCCCAAAATTCTGACTGACTCGGGATGCTGCGCCAGCGTTTCGAGTGGTCACAAAAGGAGTTGCAAAGAGGGGCAGCATCAGCAGGAGAATCGGGAGGAACAGAGGCAGGAGCAGCTGCAGCATCCGCATCAGCATCAGCACCAGCCAACGACATGCGCAATTTGTAACACAAACCCAGTCTCTGCCAGCGCCCCAAAACTTTCTGCATTCTGCAGTAAAACTGCAAAAACGGAAGGTGGGTTCCCGAAACCCGGTAATGTATATCCCCGTACCCGTAGCACATTCCGTATATTCAGTGGGAGGTCAAGAAACCGTGGCTGCTTTATGAAGCCAGGGGAAATGACTCTCTCTCTCTCTCTCTCTCGTTTTCTCTGCCTGTTTCTCTCTGTCTGTTGCTTATTTACCCGAAAACGTTGACAGAAAAATAAATAATAGGAAAAAAAGGAAAAATCATCTGGTTTTGGTGGGCATGGTCAAGGCAGGGCGACTGTCTGGATCTGAATACAAGCATATAGTCTGGTATTCGCCTGGTACATATGTATGTACCGTACATGGGCTGTGGCTGCCTTTCGGAGTCTGGGATTGGGATGCTGGCTTCTATATTCCTCGCATCTCTATTCCGGCTCCCGACATAAAGGAATCATAAAACTATAAAATGTTATTATTCAATTTTATGCTGGGAAATGAGCATACAAGTTCGGGAATATTCTTGTGCATGATGGAGGCGTGACTATCCAAATTATAAGCAATTAGGAATCGAAATCATCAGAATGGGATAAAGTTTTCTGGCTTTGATTGCAGTTTGCTTTAGAAACTTCAGAAGAATGATTAGGGGATTGAAATTTAAATATGGCTGTTAAGTCGTTAGTAATTAGTATTAAACTGAATAAACAAGCACTAATATTGTATTTAGGCACTTTAGGAGTTAATTAATTTTCAAGAACTTTCTAGTTCGATTTAAATTCTCTAGCATTAACTAAAAAAGTAATCAAAAGTTTTTTAAATATTTTGCATTCTTTTTAAATTTCAAAGCCATTTTAATAAAACAATAATAACTTATTGATAAAATGTATTTTAGTCCTGAAAACTTGATATTAAATAATTTGTATGGTATGATCAAATTAATTTATCTATTACTATCAAACCCTCAGCTTTCCATTATGCCTTCAATTAAAACACATTTTAATCAAAATCATATAGTTACTTACAACAATAGTTTAATTAAAGAGTTTTCCTTTACTTACCTTGCTAAAATAACCGACAATATGGCATCCATCCACATCCGCCAGCGTCATGATGTAAAAAAGGAAGGGCTCCACATCGTAGTAGAGCGTTTTGTGATCCAGGAAGAACTTGGCCAGCAGACACAGATGCTGGCAATATTGCTTGTAACGCTTCCCATCCACCTGCCACACCTGTAATTTGCCCTTGCGGTATATCTCATCGCCCGGCGGATGCCGCCAGACGCACTTCTCGGCGTGCCGCTTGATGCCCGTCTCCGATTTTTGATAGCGCAGGCAGAACTCGCAGATGTACATTTTGGGCAGGCGGGCAGCATCGTCCGGATAAGGTGATTGGTACCACACCTTCATCTTGTACTTGCCCATGCTGATATATCTGTGGTTTTTCAAAAGGTTGTAAATACGTCTTAAAGATTTTCTCATGTATCAAGAAACCTACTTGATTCCCTTTCCCACAGGCAGGTCCTTAAGTTCGTCTTCTATCCTCTCAGAGGCCTGAGCTTGCGCTTCCCGGAACAATTGCAAATCGTAGTCGGGCACCAGGCCGGACAGATTCGGTTCACGATCCTCGTCCGTGACGTCTTTTTCCAGCTTAACCTGGGGAGTCACAAACGGAATAAGTAATCGCCAAGTTAAATATGATTTTTTTAATTTTAAAAATAATTAAAATTTGTAATATGTTAGGCAGCTAAAATGTGGCTTTAAAAATCTCCTAATATTTTGAATGCCTTCTGTTTCTGGTTTTACAATGTTTCTGAATATATAAAAGAAAACTTTCAGTCATTGTCATAAAAATTAATGAATTGTAAACTTATGTATTACCTTCGAGTCTAGAAAATTGTTATTGGCAGGCCTAAAGTTAGCCCTGGACTCGCGAATCTTGGCCAGAAATTCACGCTGCTCGGGCGAGAGGGTCTTGAGATTGGTGTGCTGATTACCCGGTGCCGTCACAATATTCACGGGCATCTTAAGGCGCTGTTCATTGCGCAGTTTTCTTTCATTAGCCCGCTCTTTGCACTCGGAGGCGGACATGTTGTGGTAAATGGGACACGCCTCCGGCAGGAAGTGTTTGTCCAAATTGCCACTCAAGTGTCCGGATGAGTCGCACCCCTCGATAGGACACTTCTTCTCCGTCTGGGTTATTGGTGAGACGGGTCGAGATTTAATCGAGCTCAGGACTCCACTGCTAATTCCAATGGATTCTCTTTTCACTTTGCTTTTGGTGGCGTTTAAATTCGAGGGTGCTGGCTTTTTGGCGGGACTTTTGGAGATTGGAATTTTGTCATCATCTAGATCTCCATCTGATTCGGAATCGGAGTCCTGTTTGGGCTGCTGTTTGGTCCTTCGCATGCTGAGCGATCGCGTCAGTTTCCTCATGGGATTGGCCTTGTCTTTTCGCTCCTCTTCGCTGTCAGAATTCTGGATTTTTGGTGCTCCGGCTCGTTTGCCTGTAAAATAATGACAATAAGTATATGTCAAGCTTAAAAATATTTAATGGAAATTCCATTAACTAAATTGAAATTAAAATGTTTAAGAAATTAACTTTATAAATATACTATAAATAGTGACTTACAAAACTATTCATTGTCTAATTTTTAATGAATACTTTTAGTTATTTAATCACTTCTTGTAAACATTAATTTAATAATAGATAAGTCAATGTATTTAAAAGGGCAGATTAACATCCCTTTTACTACTACTAGATTTGATAAATCTAGTTACTTAAAAGTACGATTTTTCTATGACATCTGCAGACCTTGTTTACCTTTGGCTGCTCCTTTCACTGGCTGCGAGCTGTAGGAATTGCTGGAATCAGTGCCCTCCGAGTCGCTTCCTGAGCTGGAATCATCGCCCGAATTTGAGGCACTTTCGGAGCCCGAACTTCCGTCACTGCTGATCACGGGTCCTCCTCCGTTTTTCTTTGCTGGCGGCAGTTTGCCTCTGATTTGTTTTGACCTCACCGCGCTGGCCATTTTCAGGGGAACTTTGCGACCGTTCTTTACAATTTTCATTGAGTCATCCGTGCTGTTGGATGAGGAGGATAGCGAGGGTCGCTTGCCTTCGCCATTCTCCAGGGATCGATTGTTGTTGTTGTTGTTTGTTGTCGCTCGCTGGGGCGGATTGCTGGGTTTGTTGGCTGGATTGCTGCTGGATGGTTGCTTGTTGCCGGAAGCAGGAGGTTTTCTTTTGGCCGCCGTGGCGGCAGCAGCCGCTGTGACCGTGGAACTGCCCAGGGAACGGGCATTCTTCTTGGCCGGCGGCGCTGAGTCCCCGTCCTCATCCTCCTCCTCGTCGTCGTCGCTGGAGAGTCTACTTTTCGCCGGATTGGTCACTTTTCTGCTTGAGGATGCTGCATTTGCCTTGGACTTCTCCTCCGCCGCCGGAGGAGCTGGCTTTTTTCTCGGTGCATTTCCGGAACTCGTTTGTTGTTGTGTTTGCGTCTGCGGTTTCGACGAGGAGTTCGCGGATGGCTTCTCCTCCGGCGTCGCACTGCTAGAATCCGTGTCCGAACTGCTGCCCGTCTCCGAACAGCTGGTGGATCCGCTGGTGGAGGAGCTGCCCGATTCCGAGCTGCTGCTGCCGGACTCCAAGGCCATTTTTGGAGCGCACAAAAAGCTGATCAATTTTCGTACACAAAAATGTCTTGTTCTTTTTATTGTTTTGATTAGAGTGACCAGAGGTGGGTTGCAATACTTAACCACCGAAATTGGCGTGAGTAATCGATAGTTATACCGTTAACCTTTGGCTAGAGATGTGCAGAAAATGTATTAATCAAAGTAAACATCGTAAGACACTTGTTTTTTTTTTAATATTCAAAACTATTAGATCTCAAACAGCTAATTTTTAAAAAAATGAAGTGATTGCAATAATTTTTTATTTTTAATTTTATTAAAAAATTTAGTTTTGTCTTGTAGATGATATTGTATAAAGATATAAGAATTTATAATTTCAGGAACTAAAGACTTTAAAGACACTTCTCTAAACTTATAAAAAAAAGGTCATATTTTAGAATATTTCGGTTAGACCTGTTCGGCACTGCTTTGAATTATTACAGTTCATTTGTATTTGTTATTAAAAGAAATGTAAACATGTAAATATAAGAGTTAAGTTATGAAAGTGTCCAGTATAATTTCAATTTTTTGTCCAGATCGTTTATGCCCACCCAGTAGCCTGCGTCCTTCAGTTTCGCAGATATAGCCTTAAGCTCCTGTTCATCTCGGAAAGCAGCTAGATGGCCACCTATATCAGCACAGATATGTTTGGCACTTCCCCAAGAAACTAGACTAGATTGAGTTTGGATGTGGAAGAACTGAAATAAATAAAATGTATGTCAAACATATATAACAAGACATGGGAAACTTAATTCCATAATATCTAAATATATTTACAATCTTTTCCATCTCAACCATTTACATACAAATAAGCCTAAATTTTTATTAATCTTGGTATTCGCGAAACGTGTATTACAGATTTTCACAAGTTTCATTTAGAATACTATTAGTGGCATAAGAAATAATCGTTACAGTTAAATATACATTTATACTTTAAAATGTTTTTGCGTTTTGTAGCGACATACGCGATATTACATATTTTTCAACGATTATTTTAAAACATAATATATTTTTATTTTGCACATCCCTAACTATGTACCGGCTACCATCGCTGTTTTTTATTCTCCTAAATCTCCCATCTCTAACAAACGACGCCAAAACAAAAAAGTTTTTTGTACTTTCGGAAGACATTTAAGAATTAAGACATGTACAACATGGACAGTATTGCCATTAAGGACATCAAACCGGGTCTAAAGAACATTAATGTGATCTTCATCGTTCTGGAAGTGGGTGTGGCCACCGTGACGAAGGAAAACCGCGAAGTGCGAAACTTTAAGGTGGGTCAATTAAATCGTTTCGCAAATGCAAGCAAATAATTTGATAATATTAGGTGGGCGATCCGACGGCCTGCATAAATGTATCGATTTGGGACGAACCGGGTAAACTGATAGCCCCCGGCGACATCATCAGATTGACCAAGGGATACGCCTCCATATGGCGGCACTGCTTGACCCTGTATTCCGGTAAGAACGGTGAGGTCTTCAAGATCGGTGAATTCTGTATGATCTTCAACGAGAGCCTGAACATGAGTGAACCCAAGCGGGCGGAGCAACAGACGTCGGCCAATCCCGGTGGCTTGGTCGCCGCTGCGCCAGCGGGACTGCCTGCTGGTGGCGGTGGTGCCCCAGGACAGTCGCCGAAGGGCGGATCTGCTGGCATTCCACAAACTGCTGTGACCGCTGCACAAGGCACTCCTGCTGCTCAGAGTCCGGTGGTCAGTGCTCCTGCACCAGCAACAACAAGCGCTCCACAGACGGGGTCGAAACAGGGCACTCGGGGTGGACGCGGCGGCGGAGGACGAGGTGGCCTCAAGGGGGACAGGCGGTAAAGAGACTGGACACATGAGCTAGGATATGGAACTAAGCGAACAAGAACTGTAACATTAATGTATAGCTTTATCAAAACTGTTTACACATCCCCAATGATCAACCTTTGTCGGCATCGGAGTCGGTATGTTACATATATTAAATATTATCTAATCAACTTTGGCTCTAAATATTTATAACTTTTTGTGTAGAAACTCCCACAGACTTCGTTTTTAAACAAATGTATTTTGAAAGTTAAATTGATTTAATAGATCTTTGATCAAAACGGTTGGAATAAATGGACATTTAAATATGTTATTAGTAAATATTTCAGAACAAAAACATTCAAGTTTCGATATTCAGTTCTTAATTTTCAGTTCTCGGTCTCCAGTTTTCGATCTTCAGTTCCCATTCTGACATAAATATACTAAATTTATTAAATTTTATGTCGAAATTTGTTTTCTATTTTCACAATAATCCACTTTTGTGGGAACCTGAATTGTATTTCATAATTGTATTGTATTCTTGTTATCTGTAAAGAACTAATTAAATTGTAATGCATTTGGCAGAAGTTTGAAAGACACTTAAAGAACAATTATATCTGTTATTGCTGAAAAATATAATCAAAACAATGCATAAGTTATGAAAAATGTTTTATTTGGCAAAATCAAAGACACAAAAACTATTTCGAGAGCGATTGTCGAGTAAGTCAATAAACACAGCATGTTTATTACTCAAACGAGTTTTCCTCCTCTAGGTGTAACTATGAGTGTGTTTAATGTGAGTGTGCGTGGAATTTAGCTTAAGCTTAATATCCTTTGGCGTTGCGCTTAAGCCTTCTTCTTCTTCTCGTAGTAGGCCTGCACGGCTTTCAGGAGATATCCAACTTCCTCGACAGTCTTGATCTGGTAGTTGGCATAGGTCTTCAGCGTTGGCAGCTCGGATACGCGGAAGGTCTTGCCGATGCCATGCAGCACCTTGATGGCATCCTCATCGGTGGTGTCGTCACCCACATAGACGATCTTCAGATTCTTGGCCCAGTCGGCGTCGAACTGTTTCTCCAGGATCATCTTGGCGCCCTCACCTGAAATGGTAAATAGAAATTCATTTGTTAAAAAGTAGTTGCAATATGTTTGAAACTCTTTAAATCATAGTCAGGGTCTGACATTTATCTCCTAAAATTTACATTTATTGTAAACACGCAATTACTTTAAGTTTAGGTAAGTTAAAAGTTAGAACAAAAAAATTTTCGTAAGAGGTTGTCGTGAAAACGTCTATAACTTATTTCAGGGATTATTCTTTTTAGGTGCAATTGTTAAAGTAAGTCAATGAAATAATTTTTAACAGATTTTGCAATCAAAACATAATTGGTTCAAAAGAAAATTTGTTTTAAAATATTGCTTATTTCTGATGAATGCAACCTGCGGCTAAGGAATTCTTGATTTCTTATGGAAGCCATGTTGGATGTATACAAATAACTATGCACTGCTGGAAATCATCCAAAATCGCTCAATAAACAAGCGAGAACAATATTTTCAAACGTCTAGAATTCCTCTCGGCACACATATTAGATCATATAGATCGCATGCAGCCCCAAAGAAATAGAAGCGAATTTTTCCTCCTCTTTTCTGAATTATTTTTAGGTGTCTTCGTGGGCGGATCTTCTCTAGTTTTCGTTTCGTAATTTGGTTTGGCCAAGTAAGCGAGTGTTTGAATAGATAGCCGGCGTCTAGGTACCCAGTAAAAATCAGTACATATTGTGCATATATCAAATAAATAGAACATTAATCCACCTCCTCTTATTATTTTAATTATATTGCTTTCCTCTTCCTTTCACAGCGTTTAACGCCACATTTTTGTTTAATTGGTGACGCAGTCTGTTCACTGATTTCCATCCTCCTTCCCCATACTGCATTTTTCCTATATTTTTCAGACGGCACCAACAATTCTTCTTCGCTTTTGTATGCGCCCGTCGAGACTTCAATTTTTCACAAAAATGGTTCACAACAACATTTTCGAATTTCTGTCTGTTTTTTTCGTATTTGCTATAATTTCGTTTCTGGCCCCTATAAATTTATTGCCTTTGGAAGCGTACAACCATCATAATTAATTTTTGATTTTTACGCCTTTCATATACGAATGTCTTTAAAAAAAAGTTCCCTGTATTTTGTCGCCACGGCTCATTGGCCTGAGCGACAAATCTGATGGGAATGGGTTGGATGACTTTTAGAGGACAGAGGCGACAAGTGGCTTCCATAAATCTCTTCAAGAGGGGTACGAATATTTTATAGAACATTTTTGTCGGGAATTTAGGGAATTCTGAAATATTTATGGTTTATTGGCTGGGATTAATGCGGATCAAAGATTGAAAATAAAAAATGGTTTAATTATGAAAGTTTAAAAGATTTTAGTTTTCTAAAAAAGCTTAAAATTATTCTATACAATGATTTGTAGCGATTGGAAATTGTAAACTAAAAGCAATGTAAATGATAGTGTTGAAATAAATTATATTTTTATACGCTCGCAATTTAGGATAAAGAAAACGGTGTCTTTAAAAACGGCCTTACTGCCATTTGAAAAACTGAAAACTAACTAAACGTTCAAACATATTCTATTCACATTTATTTAATGCTTTAAGCATCCGTTTGCCCTCTATAAAAACCTATATTTTTAAAACCACGGATCGTTTGTAAAAAGCGTCATCAAATTAAATTGGTTTCGCTTCATTTTGACTTCATTCATCTTTAGAAAGCTAAAATTACAAACACTCCCGCCAAGCTGAAAAATTTGTTTTTCAAATAGAACAAAAAAAAATTTCCTCAAATATTGTGACTCGCAGCGAAAACCAGAGATGAGACATTTTAAAAACGAAAGCGAAATCTTGTGTCTATGAAAAATTACAAAGATTTGTTAATTTATCATAAGCAATCGGTCGAGTCACTGACTATATATATGACGGAAAGTATATATAGTTTTAGGCGCGCTTTTAACATCAGTTGGCTGCGGGATGTTTTGTCTACCGAAACATTTTTTATATATACCGCCTCGTATATGTATATATTATTCTGAGACGTTTTAATTTTGTCTGATTTTTGTGTGTGAAATTTTTCCTAGAATATATATTTTTTGTGAAAGACGCCCACGTTGAGTCCCCATTGGGGTATAGAGAAAATAGAGAAATTTTAGCAATAATTAAATCATCGAAGCGTCGAGTCAAAAATCGAATTGTTTTGAGCAGGTGCCGAAGTGAGGAAAGCTGAAAGGAATGCCATGGGGACAGATTGCAAATGGATGGCAACAGTTGGCAAATTGTTAAACGATGATGAGCTGTATTAATAGCCCCTTTGGAGGATCGGGTCGAATCCGATCGAATCGTATAGGATCGAGCCAAACTAACCTTTGTCCCAGTTGACGCGGGGCTTGCCCTCCAAAGCGTAGGGGGTTTCGATCAGCTGGAATCCATGGGCCTGGATCAATCCTTTGGCCTCGGCGATCAGCTTGGCCTTCAGCTTGTCGGTGACACCCTTGTAGTGATAGGTCACGGAGATCTTCTTATCCTCCACCCAGGCACCGGAGCACACGACCTAAGTAAAAGTCAAACAAGTTTAGTAAATCAGAGGAAACTTGGTATAAAGGAAAGATGTAAAGAGTTTACAAAATAGGGAAGCTGTAAAAACTATAAAACATATCCTGCAGACCAAAAACTTTTGACTTTAAAGGTCTTTAAATTTGTTTTAAAAACTTCTGACCAAATCTCTTACAGTTTTTTAAATATTTTATAGTTTTTGCAAAATCTAAGGTATTCCTAAATGGACAAAATGGAATAATTAAAAAATATTGTTTTTTTTTTTACATTTCAGTTTGATTTGTTACGTTAATCTCGATAAATTAATTTTTAAGAGATTCTTTTTTAAAATTTAAATTTCCTTTAGATTAATTTAATCTTAAATAAGATATATATATACTTTTCCTACCTTTTCCTTAAGCTCGGCCACCAGTTTGTTGTGCTTCTCGAGCAGTTCCTCGGGCATCTCGATCTTGAACTTCTTGCCGGAAGGATATTCGACTTCCAGGCCGTGGTTGCCGGCATAGGTGACATTGGGGAACTTGAGGTGGTTCTTGATCTCGCTCAGTTCTCGACCGGAGAATACGCACATGAAGATTTTCTCGTTGGCAGCCAGTTTCTTGATGTTGATCTCGGTATCCTTGGGCATCACGGAGAGCTCCTCGGTGAGGGGGGCCAGAGTGCCATCGTAATCCAGCAGCAGGACCACCTGATCCGTCTCGGGGTTAATGAATCTGGCGAGAGAATAACGCCCTATTAGAACCCGAAGCTTCTGGCTGCTTGATTTTCCGCAGGAAACTCACCCCTCGAGGGCCTTCACATAGTCCTCCTCCTTTTTTAACAGCGGGGCCTTCTTCTGCTCAGCCATTTTCTATATGTTTCTCTGTTTTTTAAAGTGTACGAATTATTTTGTATCTAACGGATATTGCGCGCCGTGCTGGACGTTCCTCGACCGATTTAATACTAATGGCCAGCTATCCTCAGCAGCCATATATCGCTTGTGATCTATAAGTATCCGCGATCCAATCTCGCTCTCTATTCGGTTCTGCCTCTCTCTGAATATTTGGTGGCAACTCTGGTCCCGTACGTTGGCCAAGTAATTCCCACAATATTTATGAGGCATATGCGCATAAAAAAACACATTCTATAATGGATCTTTGGCTGTATTTGTTGCATATACATATAACGAAAAAATACAAACGCAGTGTTTATCTATATAGCCACAAATTTTGGTGTTCGGGAAATGCGGGGCGGTGGTTATATAGTGTATATATATTTTGATGATGTCTTTGATGCACCTTTGTTTTAGGTTGTTTGTGTTTTTTCGAAGTGTTTCTTCTGTAAGATGACACACTTTGTGCTAAGTATATCAATCGGACATGTGATTCGATTATTTGAAAAATATAAGAATTTTATTTAAGCGTTACTTCGTTTTTATCATTTGTTTTCCACATATGCGAAGAATTTAAAATTTGCAGATTATTGTGAATTCAGACAAGTGGAAAATTCATTTCACTGGATCAATGTTCTCTACAAAACATTTCCATTTAATTATTTATTTATTTTCTTTTGATCTTCAAACGAAGAGCGATCGGTGATGGTGATGTGTTTGCTTTAAGATTAATGAACAATTTTGTATCAGATAGTCTTGAAATCAACAGAAATATTTATTTACCGGATTATCAAAGTATGTTATCCAAATTTTTCTTGAACTGATTCCTTTACTCTAAGAACGAATAGGATTAATATAAAATTATAAATTATTTTGCAAAAATATGTTTAATAGTTCCAAGATTTTTGTGTCTTTATTAATTAATCCCAAACTTTCAAGAACTATAATTAATTATAATAAGTTTAACTACCATTTTATAAGCCAATATTTATTTAAATTTCTTCTAAAAAGATTTGATATCTGATAAACTTATTATTAATTATTTTTGTAATATTTCTTAAACTTATTTATTACAAATTATATATTATTTGAATAAGGCAACAAATTTTTGTGTTTTCCTAGTTATATCTAAAATATCTAGGAAACATAGACATCAGCAATCCATTTGAGAAGATCTGTCATTACAGCCTGTGTAGGCAATCGGAAATCCGCAAAAGTCTGTATCTGAGGATCTGCAGCAATTCTAAATGAGCGACCCAAGCCACTGAGAACCTAAAATTTAATTTTATATATAAAATTCAAGCTTTTTTAGATAAATAGTATATGAACTCACCCTCATGGCATCTTCATCGGTGGTGTCATCTCCAGCAAAGACAACACTCACCTCCTGAGCCCAATTATCACCGAATTTCTGCTTCAGGATATATAAGGCAGCTTCTCCCTTATTCCAATTTACTGGTGGCTTTGCTTCGATAGCTTCATGGGCCTGATTCGCTCTAAAGCCATACTTTTTGCAGATCTCCGAAGCCAACTGCTTTTGCTGATCCTTCAAATCAACTGGAGTATCTCTGTAGTGATAGGTGAGTGACACCTTCTTATCCTCCACCCAGGCTCCATTCCTTTCCACCTTTTCCTTGAGTTCCTGTACCATATCTGTGTAGTTTTTCTGAATCTCTTTGGGCAGTTCGTAATCGTGTCTGGAGCCATCGGGATACTCAATTTCCAGTCCATGATTTCCAGCATAAGTAATTCCTTCGATGTTGACATTTTTCTGCACATCTTTAAGTCCTCGACCTGAGATCACAGCCAGGAATACTTTGGGATGCTTAGCTATCTTGTGGAGTATAGCTTCCAGCTGCACAGGCATCTTAGTTTTGGCGGGATTATCCGCAATGGGAGCCAGGGTGCCATCGTAATCCAAAAGTACGGCAACCGGAAACTCAGAACTAAGATAACTGGAAAAGAGTAAAGAATTATAAAATATATATTTTTTAAGTTATTTAAAATGAGTCATTACATTTTACATAAAAGGAATTTAACAAGTGAAATTTACATTTGGTTATAAGTCTTACAATAAGTTGTTTTTATTTTTTTTTATTTTTTAATTACTCAAAGGAATCACAATATTTACTTGTAATTTGCAAAGATTTGCAATTATTTTATATTTTTTAATTGAGAATCATTAATGTAAATAACTTTATTATTAAAACTAAACAAATGAACTTTATATTTATGAAGTTGAAAATCATTCTATATTCTTGTTAAGTTTATAAAGTTTTATGTTATTTAATTGTTCCTTTCTGATGAAATCAAACAACAAAATGTTTAAAAACCAACAAGATTAGTTTTTGTGAGTTAAGTAAGCTTTTAGAAGATCAACATTTCGCGTATAGCTTATCAGTAATTTGCTCATTACATGACATAGACAAGGTCACACTTTCGTTGTTGATGATTTAAAATTTTCCGACTTACCCGGGTAAATTCTCCTCGAAACCATCGAGGTTATTAATAACAGGTGCCACGTGCTTTCCCGGCATTTTCTCAACTTCCTGATAACTCCTTTTCGCGTTTAGCAGAAGAGCGAAAATAAATACGATGGATTTCACTGAAATAGGTTTTGCGAAGAAGATTAGTTCCGCGTTTGGATTAGCCTTATCAACACGTTGTGATGTCTCAGTGTCACAGTTTTTACTGGTAGATGTTCTGGCTGAGACTCGCTTTTAAGGCAGGCTGATAGTTCTCTCTCTCTGGTGATAAGAAACTTAAGTCGATGGGGATTCTCCCTCTCTCTTTGGGTTATTATCACCCAAGTACGATTAGTTCTCAAGATTAAATCACCTTTATGCAGCGCAGTGCTTGGAATCTATCGCCACCTATCCCTGATGGATCTGCTTGCCGGTTTGACATGCTGTTTCTCCGGCAGCTGCAGTTTTATAATGTTCCGCTGGTGGTGATTTCCTCAAACATTGTCGCCGGGTTTTTGTGTGCTGTAGAACAAAGGCAGTACGCCACCCACCACCCACTTCGATTCCCTGACTCAGTGCATCATGCGTTGCCTTCGTGTGCAATGCGTGCATTGCCTTCTTCTCCCCGCAAATCGGTCGTTAAGTTCACATTCGAGGGCAATAAAACAAAAACCGAAAATCATAAATTCCACCCACTACCCGGCGACATCAAACCCCCCATCTCTCTTTTTCCTACTCGGACCATCGCTAATTAGCAATGCGCATGCAAATCTGGTTATGTCCTCGCCTTTGTCCTCGCCAAATCCCTTTGACGTGCCGATAAGCGTGTCCCTGTAGGAGGTAACCAAAGGGTGATTCCCCTCAATCATCCCCCCACCCTTATCCCTATCCCTATCCCACACCACAATGTCAACGCGTTTCGGGGCACAAATATTTGTTACATGCAGCGGAATTGATTAGACGACAACAGAGAACCTAAAAATAGTCACAGCATGAACCCGACACGCGAAATCTATGGAAATTGGAGTGGTCAAATTGGGAGGAAATCTTCCAGCTCTAATAGGGCTAACAATTTGGGTACTTAGGCAGTGCTTTGTGGCAAATTTAGTGATTTAAAATAGGTTAATGTCCTCCTTGTATGTTCATGTCTTATGAAAACAGTTTTAAGAACATAAATTTTATTTTATCAAAGAATTTATGTCATTTTGCATGCCAAAGAAAAATTTCGTATATAAAATTTATAAAAATTATACAACTGTCTAAATATTTATTTCCTACCTTATCAACTTATAATTATGGCATCTTCCATTGACTAGAAAATTTTCCCAATTTCTTATTATTATCTGAAACTCAGCAGGGTATTTGTGTAAACCTAGTAAACATAGGAAATTCCCTACCAAAACGTCATTGGCAGGTGGCTGCAAAATATTTAGAGTTACTGCCATTTATAGAGGTTGACTGCCAAAGTGAATCACGCAGTCTGGAAAGAGCAGCATGCTCCAATAGCATGCTCAGACAAACACCGACACAGACCAGACCCAAAACAAATCCAGACCTAACCAGGCCAAATTGTTTACACACGATATAAATACAGTTGAGACCCACTAAATCGAACCATAAAGTTATCAATCGCGGAGATAGAGAAAACGTGACTTAATAAATTAAAACAGATAATGATTAATTTTATAGAAAATAAGATCTAACTTTTATTTACGTTTTTAAATGGGTAAACGTAATTAAAAATTGTTTTTTGACGTTTTCGAATAATTTTATTTGGGTTATGAATATCATTTTTTGTATTATTTGTATGTATATATTTTTAGTGTGTTTTAATATTTGTTTAGTTTTAAAAACTTGATATGAACGGCTTTGAAAAATAAATTTTTTCCACATTAATTATACATTTGGCTTAAATATAAAACATGTCATCTCGGTATTCACTTTAATAATGATCGACTGTATTATTATCAAATAGCTAGGGGGAACAAAATAAAAGGGGTTTGAGAGCAGACGGCTCGTTGATATCTAAACATTAACAAATTTACTGGAGTTGGAGCCCCCTTAATCGAATCTTTCGATGGGCACTAGCGCAGCTGTCCGCCGATATCTGGCTGCTAATTTCGATCTAATTGGGAGACAACTAATTTTCACATTGTAAACAAGTGTCTGTGGAACCCCGTTCCCCTTTTTTTCCAATTATATGTACATGCGAGGCCAGTGGTTAGGCAGCAACCCAATGGAAATATCTTTATAAATGCTTCTCATTTTGCCACTCACTTTCTCAACGAATTGCACTGATTGACCTGTCACAAATCTTAATTGGACTAATTTTTCAACTGAAAAACTGTCAATTAATTCGAATAAATTAGAGAATTGGCTTTGATTTCGATGTTCTGGTAAATATTTTCGCAATTAAACGAATGAATTTAGTTTTCTTCGATTCCACTTTTTTTGTTTTGCTCGGCTAGAAAAGCCTTTGTAGAAGCTTCTAGATCAAGCTCGCTGACTCAGATTATATCGTAGGTAATTATGACGGGGAGGGAAAGAAAGCCGTAAATAGATTTTTGAAAAAGTTGGCAAAGGGGTCAGTTAAAAGAAATAGCTTTAAGTAGGCACAGTGTGCTGATGTGTCACCAAAAATTTCCATCTGAATCTGAATCTGAAAGATACTGGCAAAAAATTTATTTTAAATATTTGATCAATTTTTGAAATATTCAAAATTTAAGAATAACATTACCAAATTAATTGTAAAATTTAAACATTTCTTGAAAATGTAAGCATTTGAATAAAATATTTTTGGATATCTAATTAGTCAAATACAAATCAAATGTTTGTACATTAAGGGTTTAAATAAGATTTTTCAATTGTTTTAGTAGTAAATATGTATTTGATAAACACCAATTAATATAATCAAGACTCATGTTGTTATCCTGCTGGAAAACATGTCCCCTTTCCGTTTCTAGCTTTACAAGAAGTTGGGGGTGTTGTTTTTAACACCTTTTTGGTTTCTTAACCGTAAACAACGGGAATGCAAAGTGACAGAAGAGCATGACGTGCGAATGGGGTCGAAAGGTTGAGTCTGGGGTTGGGGTCCCCGGGTGAGGGCTTAAGGTGGACATAAATCAACCGAAAATCGGTGATGGGGGTTCAAAGGGCATGGGCCCAGGGGCAATCGAGCGTGCGGCGTTAGCGTTGGCCAAAATTAATGTTTCAGCTCTGTTGGAAAAATCTAACCTGTTGCCGTTGTCAGAAGCAATTAGTGGACGTGCCATGGGGCGTTTCGATGTCAACAGGTTGCCTGCCACATTCTCCGTAGATGCACACCGATAATGGACTGGGTTTAGGGATCCTACACAGGGGTTAGGGGTGATAAATATATATAGGGGTGTTGGGAAAGGCGGTTTAAGTGCGTGCAAAGTCGTGTAAACATGTGTGCGTGGGCGGTGTGTTCGGCCTAGCATTAGGACATGGCTTATAGCCAATTACATGGAAAATGTTTGCATACTTTCCTTCTTTTTTATTTTCTGTTTGTGTTTGTTTTGTTTCTCGGGTCTAATGTTAAGTGAAGGTCAGCTGGGCAGAAACCAAAATTCAATTGCCCCCCGTGGTGGGAGAATGTTTGTAATAGAGACGTAGCAACAGAAATAGGCCTCTATTAAGACTTTCGTTGGCAACATTGTTGCCACGTTCAATTGAAATTGTAGGTCAAGTTTAAGGTAATCATTATATGAATATGTTGTGTACACAATACATTATTTAAACTGATTGCACATTCCGAAGCACACTTAATAAATACACCTTCTTATTTTATATGTCACATTAATATTTTTCTGGGAAACTTGATTCCAGAAATGTCGTTGTTGTTGAATATTTACTTAGCTCTTTAAATGGATGAGTAAATACTGAACAGTAATAAATTAAACTTTCTTATGGTATCTCTTTTGTAACCTTCAAGAGGGATCAATACTACCTATCTATACCAATTTTGAAAATGACTGCAAAGCGATTCTTTAAAATTGTTGTCTACTTTTCGGCGGTTACCTAAAAGGTACTTTTAAAATCGATTTGTAACTTTCTAGCTAAGGAGAATTCCCCGCCAATTCTTACGCATAAAATCAACATTTAGTTGTATTATAAAATATTTAATTTTTTAAAGCTGCAATGCAATATACTTTTGAGCTTTTCGAAACTTCATTTCTTTCTTGGTTTTAATACATACAATAGATACATTCCCAAAGCATTTTTATTAAGAAGAAATGTCAGCACTTGAAGCTTCTTGGTAAAGTTTTTTATTTTGTTTTGCTAAACTTTGTCGTCTGCTTGGCAAATGAAATGCATAACGTCGTTGACACAAGATAAAACTATCATTCGTCCGCTGTATATGTAAGCGCAATGCTGAGTACTGTCCTTGTACTTGGGTTCATTTGAACGCCACCTTAAATACGGAGCTGGTTTTCCGGAGGCCAGAGATATAAAGGTGCCCTGTTTGGCCAGATCGTTGATGCCCAGCCAGTAGTTTGATTTAGTAAGTTTGGCAGTAATTGCACTATACTCCTGCTCATTTTGGAACGCTGCTAGATGGCCGCCAATCTCAATACAGATTTGTTCGGCAGTTCTCCAGTTCACAAGTATATTGTGTTCAATGTAGAATAACCTAGTGCCTATCCGTTCAAAGTTCTGTAGTACGATTTTCCTGTCCATATTGGATAATGTTTGCTGCACAGCTGTAAATTGGTTATCCGTCTTCTTTTGTGCAGCTGTCAGTTGATTTAATAGGGAGGTCTGACTACCTTCTATCCTGTTCAGCCTTTCGTCGAGGTCGTGTGGTACTAGCTTCGTTAAATTTCCCCGAAGAGATATCTGCTGGTCTTCCATTTTATTCTGTGTCGCCCTCAACTGGTCTTCTAATTGATCTAGTTTGACCAGGGTTTCGTTTAATTTCCTTTCACAGACATTTGATGCCTGCTGTTCCTTAGTAAGGTGATCGATTACTGGTTGCAGTGCAGAAACGCAGAATGCACTGCATTGATTGGCAGGATCTGATAATAAACACACGTAGCGCCTTCCCTCCTGTGCTTCTGACAGGGATCCATGGAGATCCAGGGCGAGAAATGCACACAAAATAAATGCCGCACACCGGAACATTTTGTACGACCGCTGAAGTTGAAACTTGATTGTGAACTAGCTCTGCTCTTTGGCAGTCTTTTTAAAGGCCCTCAAATGATAGCTGATAAGCATATTTGACATTTTTATTGATATTTTACCGAGAATCTTGATATGAACAATTGCGTTTTTATTATTTGTAGGCTTAGTCATTATATAACAGATAATCAAATTTATATAATATCTTTTTTATTCAAAGCGGGCTTGGCTTTATGACCTAAACTTATTCCAAAAAACCAAATGCCTTTAAAGCGAATTAAATCAATAGAGTTATGAATGTAAGTGCCTACTTTTCGGCGATAGAATGACTGCTCTCTCTGAAGAAAATGCAAATAAACTCTATTTTATATGTAATCCCCAATAAAACAAAATTAACCTGCAAAAGAATCTACAAAATGACTCATTTGTCAATGACTTGTTATCATCAAATGATAACAACACTATATTTAGAAATTAGGGGAAGTTTTGTAAACTTTTATTAAACTCAAAGTCGCTACATTAAATGAATCTAATTTTAGCCGAAATCCCAAGAGTTTAAATGTCTTACTCACTAAGAATATTTATTTATCGAGTGGAATGTACACTATTTTCCTCTAAGCATAAAACAAAAATATATATACAATTTTAAATATTTTTTAAATTTTGTTAAATATTTAACAATTTTTTGATTTCTAGACGTATTTTTCCCACCAGCAACATGTCAACTGGCAACATTTGTGGCTTCCCAACATGTTGCTGGCACACTGCGCGCGCTTTCTGATTGTTTATAAACTTTTGAAGCTTCATTCAAGCAGCGGCAGCGCAGCGGTCGAGTTGTTGTTTCGCGTTGTGGGTGAGTGTGTGTAAAGTGCACCTACCTCCTTGACGAACTCTTTTGCATTTTACAATTGGTTCCACATATCGCCAGCGCTTTGACAACACCGCTGCGAAGGTGGAAAGGCGGCGGAAAATTGGGTGGCGAACCGGACTCCGTGTGTTTTTTATTATTGCCTCACAATGACAACGCATCGGTCGGCATTGCGTCGCAATAAACCCACTTCGATGGCATCGGCAGCGGTACTAGTTGGATATATAAAAGCATAATTGCTACGAGCCAGCAGCTTAATACGCAACAGGAAGCTAAAGTGTCAACAATTCGCCAAACTTACCAATAAAATAATAAGCATAAAATCATAGAAAATAAATAAAGAAATATAAGACCTCTACTAAAAGTTGACCAAAAAATAGTAAAATATTTTTTATCATAAAAACAAATTACTTTAAACGAAGAAAATAATTTAATTTAAACATTACAATTATTACACATAAATGAATCAAACAATTTATACCGCTTAAAAACAAAAGAAACACAATAATAACTAAACAATGCAACATTTATAGCAAAAGAAAATAGTTAACCAAAGCAAACTTTTAACAAATAACCATTTAAAAGTACAAACAACCTTTTGCCAAAAATATATGTATACAATTAACATTTAACCGTTTTTGATAAATGCTTTTTTATCAGTGCGTACTTAATTCTAATAAGAAAAACCAGAAAGTTTTTAAGAAAAGATTACCCGAAATATAACATGATAAAATGGTTTCCAAAGCAACATAAAAATATACCGGAACAAAATAATATTTTTTGAGGAAAACAAAATCTTTTTTCATCAAAAGGTGCGTATACTTAATTATTGTTACAACTAAATAAAAAAAAAACAAATTTATGGCAATAAAACTCAAGAAAACTTTGTAGCAAATGTAGCAAACGGAAAATTCATAAGCACATAATAAATTAAATCAAAAGTTGTGTTTTTCAGCTTGTTTCTTAGTTTGTAAACAATTATGTCTGGCGCAGGGGCATAGTAAACTGTTTTTTTGAAGGGTTAACGTCAACAAAAGTCCTAAATAAACAGGTTTTAGAAACTGAAATCAACTTACTGTTAGTGATGTTTTTTTTTTTTTTTTAATATTTTTTAATTGAAAGCCCCTATGTGTTCCGCCCATGCCCAATTATTATTTGCTGCTCCAGTCGACCTTGACTCATGTCTCGCCAGTGGACGATAACTTTTCACCTGATGGTTTTGTGCATATATTTCTCGATTCTCTTGATTTGTAAATCATTTAAATTGGCTTTGATTGTTGCCACTTCCGCCAAAAAAAAAGTCTTGTGCAAAACTGTTTGACTTTGAATTGGTTTCAGAAATAAAACAAATTGCGGTGTGCCTCTCCATCTCTTTCTGTCTGTTTTTGATTTGTTTGTTTGATATGTTTTAAATTTGGCGCCAAGGTCGCCAGCGTGTCTGTGCATAAGTGAAATGCAAATTTCGTTTTATTTGTCGATCCACTATGCGTTATCTCGAATCACTTTCTTGGGCATTCGATGAGGGAAAGTTGTCTACAACGTAGCAAAATTTATTATATCAACAAAGCATAATCAGAGGTCTTAACACCTTCCTGCTGATTTGGCCCACCTCGCACCTTCATAAAGTGTCTAGTTAATAGCGCCCAATACTAAAGTGCGGTGGCGGCCGGCTCTTACATTGTGGTTCTTGATATAAAACCACAAATAAAAGCGTTTTATTGCAAACTGACCGCAGACACGACCAGAGACAGTAGCAAATAATGACAAACGCCATAGCCGCAAAATAATCGAATCGGGAATACTATAGTTAACAGATTTTAGAAATACTCTACAAAAATATGTTTGAGACTCTAAAACTAACTTAAACTTTTACAACATTAGAAAAATGATATTAATCACTACATAGATATCACTACACAAAAATTATAACAATTTTTGCACCTTAAAGTTTCAAAATCAATCATAATTATTATTATTACATATGCAATATACAATAAATATTTAAATAATACATTTATTTGAGAATAATTTAAACATAAGAATTTTGAGAATTTTTTAAACATAATTTTACCCAATGTCCTCTGCTGCTCAGAAAACAATAATACCCCTTTATTTTAGGGTAGCAAAAATAATTCATCGTTCCGAACAACTGACACAATGAGTGGGTACGACAAGTGCATGGGAATTTTATGAGGATGGGGATCATAAAGAGCAGAAAGCTGGAAGTTAAGGGTTGGGTTGCTGTTGTTGTTGGGGTTAGGGTTATAACATGTTATGGGGCTCCATGAGTTATTGATATTTTACATCTCAGCCTACGACAAGTGGCAAATGTGGCAAGGAATGTCTGTGCCTAAAGAGATTTCTTTCAACTTGTGGGTGCTCTCCAACGCGAATGGCTGTTCGTCCTCATAAATTCCATTGATATTTATGAGTAAACCCCATTTTTATTGGAATTGAAGAGACTTGGAAATAAACAGATAAAAGCCAGCAAAATTTGATAATAATTATGCGCAATGGATGGTTGCCGTTTGAAGTTGACTAATACATACTTTTTTAGAAAAAATAAAAGAGAAGAGCTTTAAAAATAAAATTGAATAAAATTCTTTTGAAAATTGTATTTGTATTTCATTCAACTTATTTTTAAAAGCAAGAAGCAAGAAAAATGAATTTTTGTTAAAATAATAACAAATAAATAAATAAATAAAATGTTACCCACCTTAAGTGTTTAGCTTGCCCTTTATTTAATTTTCTTAGGTTCCTCATTATTTTCCTATTAAAGTTTTACTCGTTTCAAAGTCCCCTACAACTTTAGAACCATCTTATATATCAAACAGCTTAAAACTGTTTAAGTTTTGTCCTTCAATCCTTTTCCTTTTAATCTTTTCTTCCTTTTTGAGCTTTTTCCACTCCTTGACCATTACCTCTTCTTGATAAACAAAACAACGTCTATGTATATTTAATTGGTGCTCAGTCAACAAGAAAAAAACCTCTATGAGCATAACTAAAAAAACATTTATGACGCTTGACTTTTATTTATAAGGCTGACTTAGCAATGTCTGCGTCTATGGCTTTCCAACAAAAGGGAAAATGTAATTTCTTTTCATAGATTTATTTTTATATATATTTAAGCCCCACTCAAGGTGAATACTTATGTGAAGGAAGTTGACCGCCAACTCCAACGATTTTAGCGCATTTTCAATTTCATGGCCGCACAGCAAAACAAACAGAGTGAGTGAGAGAAAAACCAATGGCAACATTCGCCTTTATTGCACAGTGAAAGAAAGTTTACAGGAAACATAAAAATAATTACTAAAAATATCTAATAATTAAGAAAAAATTTTTATTTAGAGAATTTGTTAATATAACATTAGTTATTTGATAGGAAACCTCTCTTGCTTGAATACGAAACTTTTTAAAGTTGTTTTTAAAATGTATCTAGACTCCAAACTTAAATATGAAAATTTAAAATACAACAATCCAGAAATTATTATGCGTATTTTACAAAAATATTTATAAGATAAAAGTTCAAAAATGATTTTTTTACACAAAAGTGTAAGTTTTGTGACGAAGGTCATATTTTTTCTGCCTCTGTAAGTGCGGTTCATGTTAACTTGCTATCGAACAGCAACCAAAATGAAATGACAAGCAAAAAACGCGGAAAAAGTGGTGGGGCTGTGGCATCGAGACTTTGTGGAGTGGGCAACTCCAATCATCAACAATGGGCCGGCTGGCAAGTGGCGCACTTCCCATGACCTTAGCCGAAAGTGGAATTGGTTGATAGTGCCAACAACCCAAACGGCACCTCTCCACTTCGCCCCCTCATTTCCAGAACAACCACTTGTTGGCTGGGCTGTTTGATTTGTTTTCCGTGGAAGTCCAAGCGGCATAATCATCCTCATCAACCCAATCAACATCAACTTTTGGGCGATGACAGCCACAACTGCCTAACACGTGCCCCCGAAAAGGCGAGGAAGGCGGTTCAGGGGTGTTGAAAAATAGGGGCAGGGTGGCCGAAACTATATAGTATAGTAACTCAATCTTCGTCTGAGCCTCGAATTATTTTGGGTGCGCAATAAAGCGGCATGTGTTGGTAAACATAACGACCAGGTCAACAACCCAACAGGTCCTCATTTACCTCATCGTCTCGCTCCTGGTGTTTTTATTTTCAATGCCTATGCCAAGGTCCGGTCGACGTCCTGATTATTCACACATGCGAGTGTCCTGTCATTACCTGACATAAGGGATACTCGTTGGGTTGGACTTAGTTTATTAGGCGATGAAAGATTAGCTTGTAGATATATTGTTCTTTTGATGGCAGGAACTTGATACGCAAATGCGAGATAGTTTTAGGCAGTACAAATTCTGGCATATGAGTGAGTTCATTTAGTATGCCTAAGTGTTTTTCTTTTGTTGGCAAATTAATTAGTAAGACAAGTTAAGGCCTAAATTTTTAATGATTTAATATACCTAATTTAAGTAGGTCTTACATATTTTAGGAAATTGTGTTTAAATATCTATTTTTTTTCTACATAGTTCCGTAAATGATTTTGGCGAAACTGGAGTTGTTTATTTATAAATTTTTGAATTGCATAATATAAAATTTACAATTTTGACAAAAAAAAAAGGTTTTGGGATTGACTCAAAAACTACTATTTTATTTTTATGGAGTACACAAAGAGTTTATTTTTTTACAAAGTGCATTAAATTCACGTTTACAATTCAATGTTAAGTCCATGTCGCAAACCAATTATTTTATATGATTTTTTATAAACAAAATTAACCCATAAGACTGTCCTTATTATCTTTGTCAAGACTTTTACAAGAGCATTTTTATATAATCAATTTAAAGCCATACATCAACCAACCCCCCTATTATTTAATTTCAATCATATCAATTTATTTCGCAGAAAAATTTATATTTCAAACTGAGAGCTCAGACACTTAATTATCCGACACTTAATACATACTTGTTGTTTTTCCAACTGCAAACACTTGACTATTTTTATTTCTAGAAAACCAAGCTTTTTCAAACATTGCCTCGGAAACCAATCGTTTCCATTTGATTTCTTTTATTGGTCCTCCATATTGTAAAACAGCGAATGCCCCAAATTATTTTTTTTTTTCAAATTCTCGGAAACTCATTAGTGTTCGCTCGAGCTGATGCCTTACACCTTACTTCAGTGCATTCCCCTTTGTCGACTCACCTTTAAATCATCTCTTGTTCAAGGACCGCTTCATCATCCTTCTAATTTGCGAAAGATTTTCTGCGCAATAAAAAATAAATAGAAAGGAGTGTGAGATAGCGAGTGAAATGGAGAGACAAAGATAATACTGTAAATTTACGAGTTTCATAGCATACTTTTGGGCGTGTGAAAACCAAAACATGGCGGCGAGACTTCCTTGTAAGAGCATTTTCCCCCAAATGTATAATTAAATACAAATTAGCAGGAAAAGAGAAAAGTTTTCCCCTTCTGGGGATTAAAACCGTCTGGCTACAGACCAAAACTTTCCGGATCAGCCTTAAGCCCGTACCTCAAAACCACTTGATGCTGGGCATTACGTATACGCCACGATGGCGATGGGGTAGCTGGCTGTAGAAATGGGATTCTGAGCTACGAATAGAAAACCAGGAAAGCGGGAAAACGCTTCATTAAGCACGCACCGTCGAGTGTTTGAGTTTCAAATCCAGCTAATTAAAATCTATGCAGCAAAACTTGGAGCGGAGAAAACTCAATGGGCTGGCTCTAGTTTTAGGTGAGGTGAGTTAAGTTGGTCTGAGTTTGGTCCACAGCCAGGTGGCCGGCGAGTTCATTTGTTTCACTTTGTCTACAAATTGGCAACAACTCAATACCTTTGGTGCTCGGCGAAACCTTAAAAGTTGTGCAATTATTCTTTCACCGAAAATACGTTTTAATTACTTATAAACAGTGATGAATCTTTCCCAGATTGTAATTAAACTGGCGGCATCTTTTGAAAATATATAATTAATAATAGAGTCAGTACTGCTTTAAAGAGAATCAAATTATTATATTAAAGCTTTAAGCTTAAGTTTGTTGTAATTTAATTTCTATTAAACTTACCATTAAGCTTAATGGATTTATAATTCCTTATACCAAATTAAATTTTTTTTTTCAAAAAGCTTTCACTTTTAACGTAATTTCCGTGCCTTTTCAAACTATTTCCAATTTTGGCCAAAGAGTCATTAATTATATTCAAAAGCTATTTATAATCCCGTGTGTATGACATTCTTTTTTAATCAGCAAACATTTATCAGCAGCTATTTAATACTGAAGGATGAAACATTTCCCATGTTATGTTTAATAATACATATGCTGACTCGTGTCATTGAACTGAGCCACAAGCTTCACACACACATGTCCACCATCAAGGAGCCCATCGATATCCGCAAATGAAGGACATTCAATGAGCAAGTGACTTGCCGTTCGAGCAAAGTGATAATTGATTTTTTATTGTTATCACTTGTTGGTAGTTCAACAGTAAATGTTTTTATTTTGCTAGTTTTGCCATATTTTGATATCCTCTGACATCCTGCGCTAATCGGCCGTCAGGGAGTGTCCTTTTAATCTATAATAATGACCATGACAAGGCACAAGGACTTTTGCATTTCCCTCTTTTTTCTGTGTCTGCGCCTGCTTCTGGAGGACAGCGCAGAAAGTGTCCAATAAATGTTTCATAGTTGTCGGTAGTCTGACATTGTTGACCTTATCAAAAGCACAAGCACTCCTACTCCTCCACCCACATATAAGTGAATGTGTGTGTTCATGGGTGGCTATAAAAAACATACAAGCGAGCATCTTTTGTTTAGTGTTCCTGTTGGGTTTTTGAAAGTGGGGCACTTTAAAAACTTAAATTAAATTTGTTAAGCCACACATTCTTGAAGTTATCAGCGCCAGATTTCAAAGTTCATTTAATTTATTATGTTTAAAAAAATGTTTATGTTTAATTAAATCAATGTATATATTCAACAAATAAAATTTAAAAAAAAAACTGTTGCAGTATATATTTATAAAAAAATATAATATAAAAGTTGTATGCTTTTATTTTGAAACTTTTTTTATTTAAACAAATTAATTTTAATTTAATAATTCTCCAAAAATGTTAATAGCACTTCTTTTTCTGAGTGCCTGTACCAGATTTCTCTATTTGTATTCACGTTCAGCAAGAATGCAATATTGCTGAAAGTCGCTGGCCGAAATTAGAATGTGACCTGGTCTAGTCCTATTCTTTAGTGCGAAGAAAATTTGATGTGGGTTAAGGGGACGACCAGAGCCAGCCACAACAGCATTAGGAATCCGGGGCCAACAAAGGTCGCGTCACTCATTCCCAACAGACATATTGTCTCGGAAATACGAGACTTAACACCCAAACCCAAGCAAACAACAGAAAATATTTCATACCCTGGTATGAAATCGAAATTTCGGTCGTTTTGTTTTCTTGACAAAATGCTTGATATATTTTTAATTATTGTGTAGAGATAAATCTTTAAGATAGGGATTATAAAACGATTTGCACACCTGTTTGAATATGCAAACTGCGCAGGCTAATGATTAATAAAAATAGGATAGCATTGGATTAGCTCTGCATCAAATATATAGTGAAATGCCAGAAATCAATTTAGTTTGTCTTATATGTAATCTAAATAATAAACGAATTTTAAAGATGGATGTTCTACAATAAGAACCCGATTTCTCATACTTTTCTCGCTAAGCTAACTTTCTTATTATATTTTGCAGACAATTGTTCTTGGTATCTGCCATGAATGCCACCTCGCCAAAGTCATCGCTGGTCAAGTTGGGTCTGCATACCAACAAACAAAAGACGCTGAAGGTTATGGTCCTGGGCCAAAGTGGCGTGGGAAAAACGGGTGAGTTTGCCACACTCAGCTCGCAAAAAAATAAAAACCAAACTGAAGGGACTCCCGTATTTAGCCATGGTGGTGCGTTTTATTACCCGACGCTTCATTGGCGAATATGATCCTAATCTGGAGAAGATTTACACCTGCCAAACGACGCTGGACAAGGAGCAAATTCAGTTTGACATTCTGGATGCCACCGGTCGGCTGCAAGTGGGTTTTAAATTTGGCTTATAAATTGAAGAAAGTTTGTAAAGACTCCATTCTTTATAGGAACTAGATGGCGTCAGTCTGGAGTCCAACATTCGCTGGGCCGACGCATTTATTCTTATGTACTCCATCACGGATAAGTGTTCCTTTGATGAGTGCAGTCGCTTAAAGTTCCTCATTAATTACAACAAACGAAGACGCAAGTTGGGTTCAGCCAGTAAAGTAAGTATTTTAAATCTATTATTAGTCGCAGCTTTTTCTAATTTTCTCCCGGTTTTCCAGGACTATACTTTGGATATTCCTGTCATTTTGGTGGGCAATAAGACAGATCAGCCGGGGGATCGAATGGTCAGCTTGGAGGAGGGTCAGCGTCGGTTTAGGGAGTTATCTTGTGCCTGTTTTCATGAGATTTCCGTCAGAGAGAGCGTGGATCAGGTTAGCAAATTTTATTTGACTATATTTTATAATAACTAATTGTTTTTGAAAAGTAGCTTATTTGTACAATGTGGTCCCAAAATGCCTATTTGTACAATATGGTTCCGAAATGCTTCTTCAAAACATTTTTTTTTTTAATTTTGGTCATATGTTTTTTAATTTCAATGATATCATTTTAAAACCAATTTAAAGTAGTTAACAATAATTTCAAAATGCTCAAAATGACTACCTATTGAATTCTTATAACTAAATAATCTCAATTGCAATTGTCTTTCGTGATTTTTTGATAGTTGCTCAACCAAATAGTTTATGTTAATGTGTTCTTTTTGCCAAAAACTAATTCTCTCTTAAACAAACCCGAAGTGTAGAATTTAAAGAATTTTTCAATTTCATTAATAAGCAAACTGCTAAAATTATTTTCTTTTTTTTTTAATCATGTAGCACCTTCTGAAATTTGTTTGTATGTTTATATACTTTTTAAACCAGGTGCAGAACGTCTTTCGCGATGTGTTTCGCTTCTGGCGAGTCTTCACCAAGTTCCCCAAACTCAAGCGCTCCACGAGCGATGTGGCCAATGCGGATGGAGTGCTTACCCCCGATTCGGGATCCTGTTCCTTCTACGACGGCTCATCCTTGGGCGCCGGTCGTCGCTCCTTTCTGGTCATCGGAAGCACCTGTTTGGAGGAGAGCAGCGGTGACCATTCGGAGTCTACGGATGAGATTACCAGCAGTAGCTTGAGCAGTTCGCGCAGCGATATCGATGCCCCTTTCCGGAGTCGGGCTTCGACCGATGGAACCCTGTTGTCCCGACCGCGGAGATGGCGATATCCACCGCCAGGATGCCTGTTGCCACACACAAATCGTGTCGAGCGACGGATGAGCATTTCCACCAGGGGCAGCAATGCCAGTTATTAAATAAAATGTGTATTTAGTCCAGGGAGGGTCGAGCTTAGTTAGTCAAAATGTAGAGACAAATATATAGCTAGATGTTATTGTCAAGGAAATTAAGTTTTCATTTCAAGTTTTTTCTTGGGAAGACAATGAAAGATCTTTTGAAAAGAAAAGAATTAAGCTTAGTAGAATTAATACTTTTACAATTTCAGGTATAGATTCAATAATCCTTGTATGTTTTAATTATCTTTAAAATTTATTTTAATTGGCTACCTCTGAAAATAGTTATTAAATAGCTAAATTATTCTCAAGGTAATTGCTAGCATCGGCATATATATTTAGTCAAACACCAATTTTTCAACATAACAAAGCTAAAAACAGGACTCCAGGCCATAAGGCACAAACTAGTCATCATCGATTTTAAGCAGATATTCCTCAGCCCGCAAAGCCAGTTCTCGGATATTCCTCAGACAGCCAGCGGCGGCCAACTGAAGCTCCTTATTAGTGGATCCAATGCACTCCAGCAGGAAGGGAACCACACCACTCTGAAATAATATACAAATTCCATAAATGTGCTTTAACTGTTTGAATATTTGTATATTATTAAATACTATATTTTTGAGCTTACAAACTATCTATTGTGAATTCAAATAAATTTTATAATGATAAAAAAAACTAATTCAATTTAGGTAAATTACTTTGTACTTAAATAAAAAAGAAGTTTAATATATATATAACAAGACTCTTAAAAACTCAAAATTGTAATTCCATTATCTTGTTCTTAAATTAACTCAGAATTAATAATGAATTACTTAAATGGTAAATGGACTAAAAGATCTTGTACACAACGTTTTCAACCAAGTTTAAATAAGTACTTTAAAATAGTATTGAATAGCTATAGTTTTTTTTGCGGAAAAAGTTAAGATAGTAGATTCCCACCTGGTGCATGGTAATGCAATTCTGCGGATCCATCGATAGCTTCTCCAAGGCCATGGCTGTGCTGCGGTGCACCAGGGGATTGTCGCTGGTCATGTAGGTGACAATGGGAGTGACGGTGCGCAGTCGACCCAGCTCCTCCGTATTATTGCCAAAGCAGGCACAGGCGGCCACAGCAGCTGCCAAATTCATTCGTAGCAAATCATCTGTGGTCTGGACAAGATCGGCCAGCTTATAGATCACCCTTAGATCGGTGAGGATAGCCAGATTAGTCTGATCCTGGGCAATCGTGGCTATGGCTGCACAGACGGCAGATAAAACCATAATATCCTTGGACTTTAGCAGGCCCACCACCAGTTCCATGGCTCCCACCAAACTCCTGACCAACTCAGCTGAATCGTTGGCATTTCGAACGCAAGGACATATGGCATAGGCCGCGTGGGCTTGAACCCTAGTGCTGGTGTTTTTCAAAAGGGACCAAATCAGTCGGACGGCATCCAGATCCTCCAAAATCCTCATGCTCTCCGGGTCTTCTGCACACTCCTTCAAACCTTTGGCTAGATTTTCCAGGAGAGGTGCATGTGAACTGTTGAGCAGGGACACCATGGCTGGCAGTCCTCCAGCTTGCCGCAATTGTTCTCTATTGCTCTGGAACCGCACACATTCGGACAGGGCTCCGGTGACATTGGTCAACACCTCGTCACACTCGTCGTTCAGCAAGGCCACCAGGTTATTAACCGTCCTCAGTTGATCGAAAACTTTGACATTCGCATCGGTTACGGCACACATCCAAATCGCTCCAGTGGCGCCCCTCAGTAATGGTTTGTTATCCCTCAAGTTTTTATCCTTTATGATCGTAACCAGAGGCTCCAAACCACCTGCATCCCTCACCAAATCCCTGGTATACGCATCAAAGGCACACTTATAAATCGCCGTACTGCCCTCCATCTTGAGTTCCGTATTTTCCGAACTTAAATGGACCACAATATCGGGGATCATGCCCTCGGTGGTGATGGCCAGTTGAAATTTCGGTTCCGAGGAGCATTTGCGAACGGTGCCCATTATGGGAATGACCACATCGATATGGCAGGATTTCAAAAGTTGAGCCATCAATGGAACGATACCACTCTTCCGCATCTGCTCCATATTGTGCTTGGAATCGGCCAGGGTAAAAAGGGCCCGGGCTCCAGCTCGTGTCATATCCAGCGATTCCAGATCATCTGCTCCCAATTGGTCACGCGGCGTCTTTAAAATGCTGCAAAATATTCACAAAATTCTAATGGATTTCTTTTTAAAATAAAAACTATAAATGTGATCTCAAGATTGAACAATTGTTTTTAATAATTTCATTATAATAATATAATAGCGTTTAAGCTTCAAAGTTCTCAGTTTCAAACTTACTTATATTCCTCATTTATTCAAAATCTAACAAGAATAATTTAAAGCTTCGGAAATGTGGTGGTTATTTTCGAAGCTCTAAATATTAAAAAAAAACTTTTTGAGTTTCCCGCAACACAACGACTTTTAGGAAGCTAACCTATCTTTTAATTTGAAAACCTCTTCTTTTGTGCCAACTCACCTTAACTTGATGTCGATGAGATCCACCAGCTTGGGGATTCCCCCGCAGGTGCGCACATACTTTCTGGCCAGTCGCACCTTGCACACATTCGCCAAAGTCTCGGCGGCCATGGTCTTCAGATCCTTCATCGAGGAGTTGAGGATATCCACAATCAGCGGAATGCCATCCAGATCCACGATGGTCTTCCTTATGTCGATGTTCAGGGTGATATCCGAGAGAACTGTGAGGGCGCCCAAACAACACTTGGTGTCGCTGCACTCCAGGATATTCACGAGGACTTCGAGTCCGCCGATGTCCGAGATGGCGAACTGGTTGATCTGAGTGCTTAGATCGTAGTCCTTCAAGCAGCACAACGATACTATAGTGGCTGTCTGATTGCCCGCCTTGATGTATTTCACCAGTTTCTGGATATTATAGTAGTCGGCCGGAATTTCGGAGGCCCGTGCCACTTCCTTCCAGCGATCCTCCTCATCCGTGGATGATTCCACCTCAGTGGTATCCGAGTCCTCGGCGATTACCTGGCGTTTGTCCTTCGAGAACCTATTCGGACAGGATCCACATTGCTCCCTAATTTTTCGTCCCCGATGCTGGGAAGTTCCGCTGCTGGTGACTATCATCCCTCTGCGTTGATTTTTAACTATTTTGGTCACTTATATTCCAGAAACACGTATCTTTAATCCAGATTGTTTGACTTATGTATTGGAATTTTTTTGTGTTTTTGTGTGGGAGAATTTTTGGGCTACTCAATTGATTTAATACGGCCTGCTGCTAAGTAACCAAACAAAATTATAATAGCAGTGATTGGCTGCTTTTACGTTTTATTGAAAGCGCATATTTGTTTATTGAAGTGGAACCCTTTGTTTAATAAACTGTAAGTAAATGAAGTAAAATTTGTGTAACTTGGTCATCATCAAATTTGTGGTATAAAATTGTTCTTGAGTGTTGAGTCATTGCTAAACTTATCGGAGACCCCCCACCGAGGTTTGTGTCTTCGCTATAGTGACTATTACTTTTTTCAGAAGTATGTTCATGCGTTTTTTGCCAAACAATGCACGGCCACACTGTTGTTTGTTTTCAATCGCAGAACGGGTTTGTTTTTTATTTTCAATTAAAATCGTCGATCGCAGCTGCAATTGTTTACCAAACGCTGAAGTTGAATCATTGAATTAATTTTGGTCGAAGGAAATGGGAAATGCGAGTGGCAAGCGGGAGACGGATAATCTCTACACGAACGAAGAGCTACGAATGCTGGAGTCTGCCTATAAAAATGCATCTGGCGGAGCCCTAGAAAAGTTGACCCAAGACCGATTGGTGGTAAGTTCGGGGTCCAAAAGTGCCACGTGTGTGAGTGCGAAAATCAATGGCAACTGCAGTCTACGTCTGCGAATGCGGAAGGGTCAGGGTCACAAGTTCAAGGGCGTGCGGGGTGAACTTCCTTGAACACAATACGGAATCCAAGTGCATGACAACTGGCTATCCACCTGCTGCGATTAACACCCTTTCAAACGGTAGATTTCTGTGGCAGGTGTCTTCTTGATCAGTATAAAAAAACCATAAAGTTTTAATAAATAATCAAGTTTTACTTGTTTAAAGCCTCGTTTAAGAAGCTTGTATATCAAGTTATTTTTCATTACAAGTTTAAGATTGATTGCCTAATATTGCTATGTTTGTAAAACAATAGATTTTGATATAAAAAATTTTAATTTATATCAATAACCTATCGGAACGTTTTCGAAACCTATATTACTATTATATATTAAATATTTCTCTTGTGTCTAAAAAAAAAACTAGCCAACTTTATTAATAGATTTTCTTTACTATACATATGTATATACACTTAATTGAGTGAAGTGCGTCCAAAATCCTACAACTTTCACATGTCTAGCTGTCCAAAGCAAAAGGTATTATCAGTAGGTGACCTTAACCTATTAAGTTTAAGTTTAAACCAATTTATCTATCATACACAATTTATTAGCCGAAAAACATTTGTGATATAACTTTATCCGATGCCGGTTCAAGGCCCCCAGATTTCTCAGGCGTTTTATTAATACCACAACAGATGACGGAAATGCAACCATTCAAAAAATGTTTGTTTGTAACCAGATAAATCCTCAAAATCTTGTTTATTTTTATCTATTTATAGATCAAATTTGATCAAGACCCCTTTCACTCGGAAGTGTATATCGAAATTCGTTATTTATAGTTAGCAACCTCTGTTGTTATCAGTTCTGAATTGATAATTCCTGGGTTTGTGTGAACGTGTCCACAATTTGTCTAATTTGTTTGCCGTCGCATTTCGTTGTTTGTCTTTTGCTTTGTTGAATTTGCTTGCTAACGAATTAGTCGTGATTTCGATGACTGGGGTCGTCAATTAGGGCCAGCCCAATTGAATTAAAAATAAACAATATGCTTAACCCGTTTGCGGCATAGCATATTGTCCCGCACTCTCATAAATTTAATAATCACTGCACAGAAAAAAGTGTTTCCCAGTAGGATGTGATGGCTTGGATTCTGAAATAAAAACAACTTGTTATATTATGGGGTATATCAAACAAGAGAGCTATGTACAAAATGAAATACTTTGTGATTATTATTGTTATTTTGAGTAACAAATAAATAAATATATATACCTTCAAAGAACACAAATATTTTTCTGTGTGCTGCCCTTTAATGGGTTAATCTGTGTCAGCATTTCCCAGACCTTCGTTCCCGTTAAGAATTTGCTGACAGCAGAGGGAAAATTATGTTTATGTATCCGGTGCGCATTTTGTTTATTTCTTTGTTTTTGTTTCGAAAACAGGAAACTTGGTCGCAGACCATCGAAAGATCGCTGGCGGAAAGTACGGCTCAGTATCTGTTTACACCCACGAAGCCTGGTCAGCAAAGTATTAACATACCGCTCAGGAAATTCGGAGAGCCCTACTATATAATGGAGCGGGGAACCATTGAACAAAAGTTGCAAATGCTTCTCGGCTCGATGGAAAAAACTGGAAATGACACCTTCAACAGCAAGCAATTGGAGCAGGTGAGTCTATAAATAAACAAACGTTCATGGGATTATTGTAAACATTTGTAGTTAGGATTTCTGTAACTCGAACCACTTTATCGAATTTGAATTGAATAGCTTTTTTGTAACTCGAACCACTTTACGAATTTGAATTGTTATGATAAAATATAAAGCTTCGATCATATTCGTATGCTCAGGAAAAGGCTATTAAAGAGATTTAAAATATTTTCTTCTTGACATGACAAAAAAATGGATTTTGGGGCTTATCAATGTAAATATTGTTAACTTACAAAGAGAGAGATAATCATGGGACTTTAAACAAGTTATTGTTCAACGCTACAAGAAAAATCATATATATTATAGCACTGGTCTATATTTGTTGTGTTTAAAATAAAACCCAATTAATTTTTATTCAGTACATCTACTCGGTGATCAAGAGCTACGTTCATTTGGAGAGCACTGCCAAAAACTCAAGCATCAAGGAATGGCAGGATATGGGTTTTAATACTACAGAGCGTTCAACCGCCACCTTTGCGAAGGGCCTTATGCGGAATTTGGGCAAGGAGCTGGAGCACACTATGCCCAGCGATGCCTTGGAACGTTGGTTGCACGTCACTCCACAGTTTCTGCAGATCTGGCGCGAAGTTTTTAGTCAACTATATTGTCGCCATGGAGGCAGCAAACGCAACTTAATCAAGGAAATGGAAATTCCAATTTTACCCGAAATATGTGGTAAGAAATATAACCGTACAGTAAATCAACCACAGTTTCCTTTACAGCTATATAAAAACCTATATAAAAAATATCTGTAAAGCACAGACAATGTTTTCAATATCTTCAAAAAGATACGACAGGAAATAAATTTGTGTATATAATATTATTTTTATATTTTTTAGAAGCTTCTCAAAACAGCCACTAATTGCGTATATATAAAGTGATTCTGTAAAGCACAGATAATATTTTTCAAATGCTTCTTGGGTTGTTTATTTATGTTCAATTCATTTTTCTAAATGCTCCTCATAACAGTCACTTATTGCTAATGTACTTTGAAATTAAATGGCTTACGTGATATTTATGTTTATGAATTCAATATTTATTTATCGTGGCATATATAAAGAAAGAAATTACAATAATTTTTTCATTTATTTTCCTAGATGCTCCTCAAAACAGTCATTATCGCCCAATCATCGAACTGCCCCACGTACTTTATATCAATGCTCAATTGCCCCGCGAGCATCGCCACAAATGGCGCTTCCTCTTCTCATCGAAAATCAACGGAGAAAGCTTTTCAACGATGCTGGGAAAAGTGCTGGACAAGGGACCCACGTTGTTCTTCATCGAGGATGAGGACCAGTACATATTTGGTGGCTACGCTTCCGAAACGTGGTCAGTGAAACCACAATTTGGCGGCGATGACAGCTCGTTGCTGTACACCTTAAGCCCGGCCATGCGGTGCTTTTCGGCCACTACTTATAACGATCACTATCAGTATTTGAATTTGAATCAGCAGACTATGCCAAATGGCCTGGTGAGTAATGTTTATAAGTAATTGATTGATTGCTTTGCTAATTGTTTATATTTGGTATATAGGGCATGGGCGGACAGTTTGATTTCTGGGGCCTATGGATTGACTGCAGTTTCGGCGATGGACAGAGCGTTGAAAGCTGCACTACATATCGAGATTACGTTCAATTAAGGTGAATTAAATACTTCATTTTTTAAAAACAATCTATTAAAATTAGTATGAACTATATAATAACTTAATTCTTTACATATCTTTCCACAGCAAGCGCAAGCAATTCAAAATAAGAAACATGGAAGTCTGGGCTGTGGGAGATTTGCCAGTAAAGGAAGGGGATGAAGAAGGCGATGGCCAGGTATATATATTTCAATACTATACTATTATTAGTTAATAATCATAATACATAATTATTCCTCTGCAGAAACGTTCGGTGCTTGATAGCAATCTGGAAGATCGAGCTATGCTTGAAATTGCAGGCAAGAAAATGCATTCGGATGGTTTACGCGAACCCGGCATGGATGATTGATATTATAAGAAACTTATAATAGAAAAAGCTTTGTTTTATCATGTTCAAGAATTTATCAGACCATGCCCGTCTTGGGTGTGCAGTTAATAATTCGATTATATTTCCTTTGGCCTTATTGCGTACCCTATCAAAAATCACGAAAAAGTCCTGCGAACAAAAGAGTATTTGTTCAATCCATTCCTATAAACGTTTTGTTTAGCTATTAATGTTTATATATATACAATGTATAATGGATATAGTTTATGTAATACTGAGAGTATTGTTGTTGCGTTTTAGATCTAAAAGTGTGAAAATGAAATCATTTAAATGATATAACAAACAAGCAAGCAAAATAAGCAATGTTAAATCGTCGAATTTTTCCCTTTTTGTCCTACGTCAATAAAATGCAAAATATTTGCTGAATTCTAATTTATTTTAAGGTCTTTTAACTTTAATGTTGTGACAAAAAATTAAGAATGAATAGGGATAAAATAGCTATGATATGGCTGCAAATATTTTATTATTTCCGTTGCGTGAGAGAAGAGAACAAAACTTTATAGTGTGTGACAATGTTATAGAATTTCAGGTGGGTTTTACTTTCAATTATTGTATCATTGTTTGTATAACATTTAACACTAGTCCCTATACTCTTATCAACTAACTTTAGATATCGACGGCATAGCCGGATAGTGTCACCCCCGGTGCAATCTCCTCCTCCACATAGGATCCTGCCTCCTCGAAGGACCTGGCATTGCTGTCTTCAAAGCTGCGACCCACGCTGGCAGGTGCTTGCCTCAGTGTGGGAGCCCTCTGCTGCTGGCCAAAGTTCCTAGACACTCCATAGTTGCCCGACGACGAGTTATAGCCCTCATCCTCTTGGAATCGACGACCTGTTGATCGTAGCTTGGGCGCCTGGAATGTGTGTTGCTGACCACTATCCGATTCCCGACGATTGTTGAAGTCATAGGTGCTGGACTCGGATCCCCTTGGATAGTTTGTCTTACGCAGCATGGCCTTGAAGTTGAATGGTGGATCCTCAGAGTTCTGAAAAATATATTTGTTAAGGATGTATCAATTTAGTAGTATTCAAATTTTACATCTCCCTCGTTGCGAGCCATGTTCTGAAGTTCCCTTACTGGATCCGATGGTGGATACGAGGATCTTTGCTGATAGCTGCGCTGTTGCTGGTTGGGATTATTGCGATAATAGTTGGACGAGGGCATCGGAGGAGGAGGAGGTGCAGGCGCCGCATAGCCCTTCAGGGAGTTGCGTCTCGATCCGGACCTATGGACACCCCAGTTCTGGTTGCTGCTGCTGTTATAGTTGGTGCTATAGCTGTTGTAGGCATTGTTGTAGGCATTCATGTTCATCTGCATTTGATTTCTGTGCAAAAAAAGATATATTATTTAAACATAAATTAAATTAAACTAAAAACTTTTTTTCTAACCTCCTCAGCTGCTGCGGATCTCGGAAGTAGCCCTGATTGTAAATATTATCGCTCTCGCCCATGCGATCCCAGTTGGTCTGGCAAGCCTGCTCCTTTTTGTATGCATTGTAGGTCAGGGCACAGGAAGTCATCGAGGGATTGCGTTGCAGTGGACTATCCCAGGGCTCATCATCCTCCATGTGCTGGGTGAGCAGCTGATTGGGGAACGTCTGGCGGGATATAGAGTTGGCCGGATCCACCATGTACTGGGTGTCGTAGAAGGGAATCTGGTCCAACCTGAAAGGCATCTTCTTGATGGGCACTGGCAGTGGTCCCAGTTGCGAGGAGTTCACCTCCCGCATGTTGATCCTCTCGAAGGGCACTGCCCTGGTGCATTTATTCAATCCAGCCACCATTCTTTGGTTGTAAATGTGCACCTGAAAAATAATATTATAATTATTGTTCGAGATATCTTTGCCAACAAACGTTAAACTAAAAACTAAGCAGGCGAACTAACCCATCAACTGTATTAAAAAAAAAATTTAAAAAATTATAAAAATATGTCGATTAGTTAACTCTAAGAACTATTTTAAAGGTGAAATATAAAACAACCTTGTATTAATAATTTAAAAATATTAAATATTGTAATTTATTGAATTTATTATTATTGTTATTATTCTTATGAATGTTCTCTATTTTTTTGAACGTCATATTTTTTTTTTAATTTCTATAAAGAAAATTGTCGAGCTAAGTCAATATTAAATTCTAAGAGTTAAAGGCAAAATAAGAAAAAAAATCTTGTAATACTCTTATAGCGTTGGTTTTTAAACCTACATTTATATATATTAATATTATTATTTTAATTATTAGAACTTAACTCACCTGCTGTGACAAATTTACAAAGTCCTGGAAGCGAGCAGCCCTGTAGTGCAAAAGGACCTGGAATATGGACTTCTCGCGCCACTTCTTGGCAAACGGGCGGATAAAGTCGGCGGTGTTCTCATTCAACTGGCCGGACTTCTCGTTGACCAGCGGAGGGAGACGAACCCGGTCGCGGAATCCCCTAAAGGCTGTGGGAAAATGGAAAACGGAGGAAAGCCGTTAGAGGAACCCATTTGCAAGGCGGTCAGTGGGGCTGGTCGTAGTGGAATGAGAGGGAAGTCACCTTAATTTAATTAAATTTTCATTTCTTTTCTACGCAGCACTTATAATTCATCTCTTTCCGCAGGTGCCGATGTCGATGTTAAGTGTTATGTCTTAGACTGCTATAAGCCGATTGGTTGCATCAGATAGCAAAAAAAAACAAATACAACCGCCACATTTGACACCACTAAGCGGCTTAAATAGTTGCCGAGACCCTAGACTAGTTGATTGCTTTGTTGTTTGCATTTTCTGGATTTTATTGGTAGTAGTAGTAGTAGTAGTAGTAGTGTAGTAGTAGTAGTAGTATTACGAGTAGTATTTCGATCGATATAGTGATATAGTGTGTATAAATGGTATATAAACTGGGGCCTATTCATCGACGGAGGCCTGCTCGATCTTGGATATTCGCACCGCCGCCAGAGCCTCATCCATTCTGGCCTCAAGGAACATCTCCTCGGCCTCCGAGGGCGTCTCACTAATGTCGATGTGCTCCTCGTCGAACTCTTTTAGCCTATCCACCTGCGTTTTTTTACCTTTTTGTATTTTGCAAGCGGCCACATCTTGATGCTCCTGTCCCTTTTTGCCCACTGCGAAAGAGTTTGTAATTAGGCTTTGTTAAGACTTATATTTAACTTGACAAACTTACTTTTGAACACTTTTCCGCCCTTGACGCGTTTTCGTGCCAGCAAAGCGCGCATCATTGATTGCACCTTGATTACCTTCTTAACCTGCAGCTCGTATAATCTGTAATCATTTCGTTTTAATACATTTTCTTCAAGTGCAGGATTTCGTTGCTCACCTGGACAAGAACTCATCATTATAGTACCGCAAAAACACCTTAGTCTTGCCCAAAGCCCAGCCTTCCATCTTGAGACGCAAAAACAAAAGACGACAATTATCCTTGGTCATTTCCACAGGCTCATCAAAGTCAAAGGCCAGGAATTGATATCTGTAAAAAAAAGGGACAAAAACATATTTAAACAAAAACCTTAAGTAACAACAATAATAATTTTTATTAACGGAATTTAAAAATAACGAAAAAGCTAGATTGGTGCTTTAGTTTTGGCTGCAACCCACCTCTTAAGGAACTCCTCGAAGGGCAAACGTGAGCTGAAGCCCTTCTGCCGGGCGATTACGGTGTCCAGGACTCCCAAGGCCTTCATCTGTTGCTGGACCACATCCGAGTGGAAAGCTCTGGGCTTGTACTCCAGATCAGCGCGAATGCAGCGGACAAAGTGCACGCCGAGATTCGCATTCTGGCTTAGCATTTTGAGCAGGGTCAGGCAGGTGAAGCGGAAGTTGGCCGCCAAAGTGCGGAGATTGTTCACCTGGGAGATGCAACCGGCACTCAGGGTATTTAAGGCCTTAAAGAGATAATTTATAATATTTAGAAAAATACATAAAGTAACTAAAGAGATTTTTTACCATGAAGTTTATTATATTTTATTTGAAATTTACTTTTTTTTAAATGTTAACCATTTGAAACTTAAAAGTCTGTCATTTTTTGTGCATACTTTTTTACACCTTTAAAAGGTAATTTAAATCCATTCACTTTAGTAAGTGAATCTAAAGTTTAGACAAAGCGTCTTGCATGCATTTATACCTCGAATCTATTTAAACTTGTTGGCCAACTCACATAGGTCTTCCGTTCGGTTTCGTCCTTATGCTGAACCGCCTCGAAGGGCATCGTGAGATTGCCAGCTTTGGTCAGTTGATTGGTGAACATGGCCATGATGCTCTCATCCAGCGAGGAGCGGAAAGTCTCGATCATTTCCGGCGGTACGAAATCCCGGTTAATGTCGGTGAAGGCGCGCGTATCGTAAATTATGCGTCCCGTGTAATGAGCCACGGATATCTCAGTGGCAGTGTGCTTCTTCACAAACTGGCTGTGCTTCTCCGAAACGCGATCTGTTAAGCCACAAAACAAAAATGAGATATCCCAAATACGTGTCACAATCGTTTTTTTCATACCCATTATCAAATCCTGATCTTGGCATGAACGTGAGGCATCATCAATGATGTAGAACAAGCCATCCGGTTTGGTTAGCAAATTATCCAGAGCGGTCTTGTTGTCATAGAAATTCAAGTTAACGGTGTCAATATCCTCAGCCTCCATTTCCAGCATTTCACTAATAAAGATGCGCTGGTTATAGTGATACTGCATCTGTTCATTCAAAGTGTTTATCATCAGTTGCTCGAGACCATTTCGATTAAAGCACTCAAAGCCAAACATGTCGTGAATTATAATGGCATTGGTGTCACCGCTGAAATAGGTTAATTATTGAGATTGTAGAATTTTTTTTTAATTATTGTTAATTAATTCATTTTTATCAAGTAATTTACTACAAATTTAGGAAGATCTATATACCTGCAGTCATTAATTCTTATATCAAATACCTCAAATTTTGAAAATCTTACTAGGTTTTTTTAAAAAAGTGTTATAGAATAACACATTAAGAATTCATCAACTTAATTTAAAAAGCTAATTTTACGACTTTATTTATAAATAACACTTGATTTGAAAAAAAATGTTTTTTGCAATACTTACAACACAGCCCGTGGGAAGGACATGTTCATATTGATCCTGTTGATGATAAAGTCTACCAATCTGGAGTAAAGGGTGCTGGCCACCGCATCGCGGGCATCTCTGGCTTCTTCTGAAGTATATTGCCGCCTCTCAGCAATTCCTCCCTTGACCATAATGAAATTGGTCAGGGACCACATAAATTTCTTCTCGTCCACCCGCAAAAGCTCTGCAATCCGGGACACAATGTCGGTGTTCTCCACTTCCGCAAACTTTCCATTCTGCCGGAAACGGATGTTGCCGATATTCAAAATGGCAGACAGAACTTTGCGAACGGTCTCCAGTTGTTTGTGACTAAAATCGATATCCCTCAGGATGTTCTCAAATTCCTTGTATTTCTCCACATTTCCCTCAGGATCATCACGTCGATATTTCAGTTTTGAAGGTAGAACTTCTGGCGGAACTCGCAGATAACGATAATTGCGATCAGCTTTAAGATTATATTCCTTGAGCTGATTCTGCTGATTGATAAAATCATAGAAATAGTAGAAAATATGGAAATTGTGCTGGGTGCCATCCGTGGTGGCCACTCGTAACTTTTCCAGCATATACATATTGAATACAGCTCCACTCATCTTGCCAGTTTTACCGAATGTCAAGCAATATTGTAGAACACATCTGGTTGAGTCGTTGTTCACCGGTGTTCCAGCATTCACCAACATCAGGATGGCTTTAATGGAGCTCTCGACGCGTCCAGTGGCCCCTCGATTTCCAGAGCCCAAATAGCACAAGTGTTTGATCAGCAATCGAGCATTGGTGGACTTTCCCGAATAACTTTCGCCAGAGAGCACAATGTGCTGCGGTTCCTTGTGATGCAGCATATCCTGGTAGGCAATATCCGCCACCGAGAAAATATGCGGCTGATTCTCCGAACGCGACTTGAAACGGTACTTGGCATGGAACTGAAAAAATAGAGGAATTAAGGAAAATGTAATGGTATGGATATAGTTTTTTTGGAACAACTAAATATTAACTAAATGTTTAACTAAAAAGATCGAATTTTGTAATACCTTTTGGGTTTACATTCAATATCATCAAGATTTGAAATTTTAATTTAATATAACATTTTATAATTTGCTTTAAAACATATGTTTCAGTGCAATACAAAATTGGCTGCTTAAAACATTTAATAGAAACCACGGACAGATTTTATGTTTATAAAAATATAATTGGTTTTTGTATGAACAAAGTAAAGATAATGGAAACAACTTAGCTTTTTGTTTGTAATAATTCAACACAAATGTAACATTAATAATGTTAGTAACATTTAAACTCACCTCCGGTGGGAATTCCTCTTTGATTTCATTGGAATTCAAGGACAATAAGATATCGCCAATAAAACTATATGATCCTCCCATTATAATGCGATGACGCAATGATTCGATAATGCTCTCATCCACTGGATTTTCCAAGGCGGCCAAATCCTCCGGGTACATCCTCTCCGGCTTCTCATCGAACCTCTTGACATAGCCTCGATCCACGAACAATTCTGGCTCCTTATAGAGAGTCTTAACGTCCTTAGAGAGTTCCAGCATCTCGGAGATGTCCGAACGCATCTCATCCTCGTTTTCGATGAGTTCCGTGAGAAATGGATGCTCCACCATCTCAACCATCATGGGTCGATTCTCGGCATTCTTCTCCAGAGTCTCGGAGATAAAATCATTGATCTGCTGCGACCAATTAGTGGGTCGCATTAAAGTCGGCGGTGGATTCCGAATTATCTGGAACATTGCCCTAGTGGGATGCATGTCGGCGAATGGTGGTTTTCCATCGGCCAGCTCAATGGTGGTGATACCCAAAGCCCAGACATCAGCACGAACGGTGATGTCTGGATCCCGGGATTCCATGGCAGCCACCACCTCGGGAGCCATCCAACATGGCGAGCCAATACAGGTGCCCCTCTTTCCCAAGGTGGAATCCACCTGACGGGACAATCCAAAATCGCAGAGCTTTACGCGTCCATTTTTGGTCAACAAGATGTTATCGCCCCTTATGTCCCGATGCAGGACATGATTACGATTCAGTTCGATGGCCGCACGGCAAGTCTCCCGAATGATATACGCAATGTGCTCCTCTCGCATCCGACGATCCAGTTTCAATAGCTTATTCACCATATCGACTGCAGTTCCTCCAGCGCAGTGCTAAAATAAAAAAGTTAATTTTAAATACATTTTTTTAAATTAAATATTACTAAATTAATTTAAAACAGCTTAGGCTAACAGGTTAGTAAGCAACACCCCACTTATGGTTGAATATCAAACAGGACAGCATTTTAATAAAAATGAATTTTTTACAGAAAATAGTAGTTTTGAAACTAGTTATAATGGTGTATAAAAATATGCAACAATATATTTTAAGTCTTCAGGTTGGTTGGATTTATTACGAAAGCCGATGGTAATTTTTGTATTGCATACTTTCGGACACCATTGAAGTGATTTCAAAACCCTAGAGATTTACTTGCTTCAAAATTTATAACAACAGAACTTGAACTAATAAGGAAATGAATTTAATTAATAATAATTAACGTATTTTAGAAATATTGTAAAATTTGGTACCTAATTATTATATGTAAATTTGAATAAATCAATTAAATTTCAGTAAGTTACTATATTTTGACTCACCTCCATGACAAACCAGATCTCGTCGGGTCCGTTTGGCTTCGATAGCTTGTACACTCCATAGAATTCAGGGAGATTGGGATGGTCGCAGTAGTCCCGCAGAGTGCGATACTCCTCCTCGATCGACACCTGGTGCTCCTCATCGTAGTGCTGAATCTTTAGGGCCACGATTCGATCATTTTCCAGCTCCTTGGCTCGGAAAACCTTGGCATTAACGCCTTGGGCTATCTCCTCGTAGATCTCAAATTTATCCGTTGGATCCGGCAATTGCGTATACGGTAAATACATCCTGACCTAGTTGACTATTCTGAACGTTCAATGAATATTCCTGCGATAGTTTAAGTAAGTTAAACTTTGAAAATGGGGTCTAGATATAGGGGTCGTCAAGGGAATTTCTTTTTTATTTTTAATTGGGCAAATCGCATTATGTTAATTGTTCATTGTAGCATTTTGCATAACGTATTAAGTCGAAGCATTCTAAAGGTTTCTATCGATCTATTGGTTTTAAAAGCATTTAACCTTTTTTTTCTTGCTATAAAATTATGTTTTACCCTTAATTTGTATGCTTAAATAGGCTTTAAAATTAATTCAATTAAAAGTGGATTAAAACTGGTGGCAGGCTAAATTATTTAAATTTGTACTTTAAAACTGTTACCAGACTTAAGTTATTATTTAATAACATTGTTTTTTTAAAGAACCTTCAAAAACAATTTTTATTGTATAAGTTTCTGGAGAAACTACTTAAACCATTTCATGTTGTTTCGACTATTCCAATGTAAATATTTAATCCTTTGACCAACAGGACATCATGTAGAATTTTAAGAGATTATATGTTTTGCAGCAACTTTAATTATGTTATTTGACTTTTTGCATAAAACCCAGTTCACAGAACACTTAATCCTCAATCCTTCAGGACACACCTTTGCTGTTTAAGAGCCGAACACTTTTCCTCTTATATAAATGGCTGATTTGAAGGAGTTATTTATTTGGAATTTCGAACCGACCGCACGCATGCAGCACGTACCGCTGCCGTAAGCCAACTAAATGATGCCCCAATGCAATCGACGGCTTTTCACTGGCAAGGAAGGAAGCCCTTCAATGGGCAGTACCTGGGTGCACACCTTGGACAACTATTTAGCTGGCTAATTCAATTAGCAGCGGCGACATTCACGTGCAAGAGCAAAATAAGAGGCACAGGTGGGTAAAGCGCCAGGTGAAAGCAAAACTGCCAACGCGAGTGAAAGTCAGCTGATTGACAGACTAATTATGCATCTTATTATTCGTATTTACAAAATATATTTATACGTATTCCAAATGGCTGGAGATTGTTAAACTAAGCATTGCATTTACACACGTTTATTGATGTTTGCCCTATTGCGTATGTTATGTTTTTGTTTCTTTAATACTGATTTGTGTGTAAAGTTTTGTTAGATTGAAGAAAAGTCTTTTCTTATGCGTGGTTGTGGTTGAGGCTCCCGCTCACTCCCTGCCTTCCCGTTTCCTCTATTTTCCTCAATTGCATATGCTAATCCATTCCTCCACGTGGCACTCCTCGCACTCCACATTACAGCACCATTGAAATTTACAGTGACACCGCTCCGCCCGCCGCTGGATGATTTGACTGTGGCCACGCCCACAGCAGAGGGAGGTGCATCCGTCGCTGGTGGTGGTGTTCCGGTTGCACTTTCGACCCACAGTGCCTGTGGATAAAAATGTGAGTTTAATACTTCCTAATATATAAGAACCAATCAAAAATCCAAAGAATCCAAAAAATAGATAAATTGCATTCAAAATTATCGTAATAAAATTTGTTATCATAATTAAATTTGTAAGCACTTCACTTACAAATAAAATTCTAAATAAAAAACAAACAACCAGGAGGTTAAGCCCTTTGAATATAAGTTTATATGTCGTAAAACATTTCAAGAATTTATTTGCTTATAAGTTCGATACGATAAGGGATTATAAAAATATATATAAATAAGGAATGGAAGGTTTGTTTGCTATCAATAAAAAAACCAATTTGCGTAGGTCTAAATAACACAATGTTAATGAATCGACAGTTTTCAAACTGTAAGCAAATACAAATTGCTTATACCATGAGTGTATCGCAATTAATCCCTCCTACTGGAGGACAAGCTATTAAAAGTCCATAAATAAACTATTAAACTAAAGCATAAACAAAGTATCACAATTGTTTGTTGGACGATAATTGCCAGCGTTAATTGCCATCATTTGCCTACACACGACACCGGACACGAGCACATGAATCAAAACGCCCGATGGGCTGGTCCGCACTCCGCAGTCCCCAGTTCACTGGAGCTGGAGGTAATACTACCGGACTAAGCCGGCGATTAATTATAAATTTGCGTCGTAATTAACACTTTTAAACTGCTGCCAGTCGCCGGCGGAGCAGCAACTTTTGATAATTTGCAAATGTGTCAACAGCAAAATGGCTAACGAAAATTGCAAGTGGCAGTTAGACGTCGTTTTCGATGTGAACGTGCCTCAACTCCATTCGATACCAACAAACCAGACGAGAAACAAAAAGGGGTTTTAAGGGACTTAAATTTTAACCAAGCAATTGTTTTTTGAGAGCGAAGACTTTATATTTATAACCTTTTTTGATAATTGCTTGGAATAAAGATTTTGACAAGAAACTTTATTTTTGCTATATATTATTTAGTATCAATATTTTCAAAAACTTATTAAATTAAAACCCCTATTGATGTTTCTGCCTCAGCCTCTGCTTTAAACATTCCGAAACTGAGTTAAGCTGATCCGATCCAATCCGATCCAAACTGAGCCAGAGCTAAGCTAAACTGAGCTGCTGTGCGCATGCGTCGTTGTCGCATTTTTTTCGTGAATTATGTGGCATGTTTGGTAGCCCGTTTAAAAAACATTTTTGCTTTTGTTGCACTTGCGGTTGCTGCTGTTGTTAATTTGCATTTGTGATTTATTTATTAGAGGCAAATCAAATTTATCGTTCGGTTCGTATCGGTAAATCATTTTTAATTAGTTGCAACGAATTTTTTTAGCAACGAAATTGTAAATTAATTTAATAGGTAATGAAATTGATGGGGAGGAGCTTAAAAAAATTTGTGGCTTAAACTGTACAAGAAGAGGGAGGAACTTGGGACGCATAAAGCCATATATTCAATATAATATCATTGGAAATTAGAAATAAAATAAGAATTAAAAGTAACATGATTACTTAAATTTTATTTATATATTTAAATTGTAAATAGCTATTCGAAGGTGTAACCAAAATTCTAAAAAATATTTACTTATTTCCAGACTTTTTGAATTAATAAATTAATAAATTAGTCGATTAGTCTGAACTTTGTTAATTGAACAATGTAAGATTAAAGTAAAATGTTTTAATTTTATTTAATTTTATTTAAGAACACAATTTTTTATTTTTTGGTATGCAAAAATATGTATAACTAACTTACCCTGTATATCAGCTCCCAAATCCCGTTCACAAAAGTTTGGCGAGCGCTGATAGTAGAACAGCGATGTCTCCAGTTTTCGGGCCATCCTTGCTGCATTTTTATCGGCACTTGGTTGCCGCGAGCCCCGCTCCACTCCGAGTTCCTCGTGTCGTCGTGACTCGGAACTGCCCGTTCCTCCTCCATCGGGACCCCCAGATGCATCAGCGGTGTCCAGATCGGGGGAGCTGGATCCCGAGCCGCTGCCTCCATTTGATTTCTTATTGCGCGCCCTTTTCAAAACGACCACGGGCTCCCCGTTGCCAAGATTCGATTGATCGACGAGAATGGCCTTGCGGAACTGGTGCTTCAGCACCTTGCCAACGATGTGGAAGTCGGGGGCCGACTTCCAGCAGGTCTTCAGCTGGCAGCTGCCGGACATTCCATGGCACTTGCAGCGGAACTCCATGTTGTTGGAGACGGCCTGGAAAAGTATGTATGAAAAAATGGCTTAAATTTAAATATTAAAATAAAAAAAAAGCTTAGTTTACATGTTATGGAAATTTTGTAATTTATGTACAACTTTAATAACGATTTGCTTTTATTTTATACATTTTAAAAATCATTTATTTATCAAAATATGACAGACTTTTTTTCTATTATTTTTAGGGAAATTATGTTCATTTATAAATGTGCCTCGTTTTGCTTTAAAATCAATTAACTAATTTTGTAAAACAAATATTTTTTTTCTTTAACAGTTGAAAAGCGAAACTCACTATTCTGCCGGCGTGATTGTTGTGCAGATTGATCTTCGACTGAATGTCGCCGGCCTTCTCACGGCAGTCGAGGAACAGCTTGGAGTACTCGACGCCAAAGTCCATGTTGTGGGAGCAGCCGCCCCATTTCCAGCGACTGGCGATCTTGGAGCGCTCGTACTTCTTCTCCTCCTCGGGCGTTAGAATCTGGTTCGTTTCCAAGTACTGGAGAAACAGCTTCTTCTCCTTGTCGAGCGACTGGCGCAGGTTCTTGTTGAGCGTTTTGCGATTGATGGTGGGGTCGCAGCCGCAGGACATCAAACGGCCTTGGCTGCAGGCGCGGGCCACACTGTGTGCCACCCCGGCAGCCGATATGGCAAAGGCGAACGCACTCTCCCGGTAGCCTAAAACGGTTAAGAAATTTAAAGAATCGGTATTGGTATCGAAGTCGCAGTTGGAGTCGGAGGTCCTGCCCAGGGGAATCATTGCCCACTATTGCAATTTATGCGGTGTTATTTTTAACGCTGCATTCGAAGCAGTCGTCGCCCTGGGAATTCAGCGGCATTTCAGCTTTGACAACAGCTCAAAGCAAAGAGACTGTGGCAAGAACACTTTTAATGATGCAGTCCACACCCACCCAAGGCTGTGATCCACTTGCAAAAATAAATATTAAATAGAGATAAGAAAATGGCCCAGAGACGTGCGAAATTTGTACTTTTCCATTTTCTTATCAAGAAGACAATTTACCATCTATGCCAAAAATGATCAATAAATTTTTATAAATAAACAGAAATAATTTCTTTGAAAAATATTTTTTTGAAGAACATTTAAAACGGTATCCTTATGCAAATTGATTGATTGCTTACAAAAAGGTGTGAAATTAAAATAAATAGTAATCCAGTTGACATTTACATATTTCTTCATTATTATATTTTAACTTTGGGCAAGCGTTAAGTATAAACAAACATTGCTGAAATTCAGCCTAAAATCTATAAAATTTCATAACAATAGATCTTAATATTCTGCAAGTGTATTATTTGAAATGCCTTATGCAGCGCTGGCAGCTGTCAAATGGCTGTCAAAAATACTGACGTTAATCATGGTCGACATGGCCGTGAGTGGCCCAAAGTTGGCAACATTTGTCAAGCGATTGACATGCAAATGGCCAGCGCCACTTTGCATAATGCCAAACGCAGTGAGAGAGATCTCCGAATCGGCGACAGTACATATGTCAGTGTGACAGGCTTGCATCATTCTGGGGTCGCGAATTCGAATGCGATTCGAAATCCAAATCCAGACTCCTCTCCTTCAAGCCGCTGTCAAGCAATCAGTCAGTCAGTCAAGTTGGCCAGTCCGTCACTCAGGATGCGCACGAATGCAAATGTCAATGTTGTGACAAGTTGTCGTACAGATCGGGGGTTCCAGTGATCCAACTGGCGATCGATTGCAATGCAAGTGCAATTGGAAATTGTGTGTGTAGCGCGCATTTGATTGACGATTAAGACGCCATCAATCAAGGCATCGACGAACAGTAGCCCCAGCCCACTTCGCATTCTCCACTCCCGCTTTTCACTGATCACTGATCAATGATCGCTGATCGTCGATCGTTGATCGCTGACTTGATTTATGCACGCTTTGTTTGTCTGGCCGTCCCCTCTCGGGCCATTTGCAAATCCAAATCACATCATTGGCAACAGTTACATTTGACAATGCCTTGGGGTCTCGAGATCTACCGATCTACCGATCTCGCGATCTCTCACCGCCTTGCGCATAAATTGGCCAGAAAGCCGAGTTCGGGAGGCCAGCCTGGCGACCTGTCTCGATCTCCGCCAGAGTCCGGAGCTCCCTTCCCCTGTCCCCTGTCGCCACTCTTCAGTCTTCAGTCTCCAATTCCAAGTCTCCTGTCCCGCGTGTTGCAATCCCAAGTAATTGTTTGCGACATACGTCGCTCGCTTGTTGTCACAGGCCGAGAGAAACCGGAGAGAGAAAAAGAGAGGTCCTCGGATAAAGGTCGTTCTTAAAACGCACACTAAAAGATATGTTTTATTAAAATTATGTATTATTATTATAATTATTTGAAAAGTGCTTGTCCTTGCATTACTAAAATTAAAAAGAAATTTTAAATTAAATCTTTATTATTCTTTTTTTTTCCTTTTCAAAAAATATAAATTAAAATATATTTTTAAAGTGATTTAGTTCCTAAACAACTTTGTTTCTTGACGCATTTTAAGTTTTATAAATACAAACTACTTATCTCCTAATTTAAAATATTTCTGTCAAATGAAACAAACATGACTCATTTTTTTATCAGGCGAGTAAAAAAAGCCGATCCCTTCTTTGGTGACTTTGTTTTGAGTGTAGGTAATCCTTTAACTACTTTGTGTTGCAGCCTTTAGGAGGGGTTTCCCCTCCCACTGCCGCTCCACTTGATTGACAATAATGCATGGTAGCAGCAGCAGCAGCAGCCGTAGCAGCAACCCAATCCAAGATCAGCGATCTGCAACGACGACGTAGCGACGATCGACGATCGACGAGTTCCATAAGTTATAGTAGATGTATGCAAAATAGTTGACCTGTCCGTGCGCCGTTTCGATTGTCAGTCATTGTGCGACTCGGCGACCGGGCGACTTGATTTGTTTCGTTTCACTTGGTCGCCCCATCGCTGGCCTCCGATCTTGAGGTTCCATGTCCCATGTCCACTATCCACGGTCCACTGTCCGATGTCCAATGTCCAATGTCCAATGTCCGTCCATCGAATCGATCCCTGACTTTGTGGCTGCCTTTCTGCCCTTATAAGTCGTCTTCGCTGGCCGCGATCGTTGCACGCGTTGCTGTTGGCCTGTCAATATTGACTCTCGTTATGTGCAGTTCCTTCCTTATTTAATGGACGCACGAACGGACCGGGTTGACAAACGGACAACCGGACAAACGGACAGCGGTCTGACCGACGGACGGACGATCCTCAGACATGTCAGTGACATAAGCTTGGGTTTACCATATTGGCTGAAGGCTAGTCGAGAGTTACTTGGAAGTGCTGCTGCTGGCGGTGCTGTTGCTGCTGCTGCTGGTGTGGCATGCATTTGGAGATTTATGGTTCGGCATTGTCTTTTCGGCAATGTTGTTAACTTTAACCCGCCGTTTTGGCATTTGCCTCGATCTGCTGCCATGCCCCCGAATGCAAATAATATGTAATGGAATGATTTGGTTAAAGATCCCCCAATTCTCAAAAGCATCGGAATTTCCATCCCATTTTCATTGGGAAACTCAACTTTTAGATTTTTTAGTTTGTTACTTTGAGAACTTGACCTAATTTTAAAAACATATTAATCAAAATTATAATAAAATACAAAAGTTAAAAAATTCAATGGTTCTAATAAGGTTTTATTACAGTATTAAAGGATAAGAAGGTTAAAAACCTCTTCAATTTGATTTAAAAAATTTTGATACGGATTAAAGGTATATTTAAAAAAATGTTCCACTTAAAGAAAATCTATTTTTTATGGAAAGCGATAAGTTTTGGTACCACGAAATTTGGTCAGATTAGGAAACGGGAACTATGCTGATAATCACATCAGAGGAATGACAATGACAATGTTGGGACTCTGTCCGTGTCCAATTCCAATTCCAAGTCCAATTCCGTTTCCACATCCCATATCCATTCCCAGGACTGTCCTGTCCTGTCTTCTCCTCTCCAAAAAGCATTCGTTTGACTCGACTGTCCGTTGTCAGTGGATGCGGCAGCATCCGTCAACGGAGATAACAATTTTTTAAATTGAAATTGAATGAAGTGGTTTGCTTACAATATAATTTATACGATGAATGCAAATAAATTACGCCGTACGAAAGACGAAAACGAGATGAGGCTGAGGCTGAGACAGAGGCAGTGGCCCCTGGGCCTTTCCCTTTTAGCTTCTGTTTGCCGTTGTTGTCGCCTGTCGCATTGAAATTTGTGAGAAATCTGCCGAACATCTCCGGCTATATATCGTTTGCATCTGGATTGCAGTGCCGCCATTTTGCCCATTTCCATTGTGTTTTCTTCAACCGCAGCTCCTTCGCCTTTCATTCCCTCGTTTTTGGCATTTTTACAGCAATCGTATGATGCATAATTTAACTAATGAAGCTTTCTGGTTAAAGCGTTGTGTTTATTTCCATAGGACTGCCAAAGTGTTTGGCCAAACTAAATTATTTCGTTAGTAGTAGATATGTACTAGTACTAAATTGGGAAAGTGACACAACAATTTAAGGATTTTAAAAAAAGTTATTATATTTTGCCTACTAACTTAATGGCTTAACATAAATTTTATGTTTTATAAATTTTTATGTTATGTTTAAATAATTAATGGACATTTCATTGATTTTGAGAACATATAGGACTTCCACATGGAGTGTTAGGTGTTTTTGTTGTGAAAAACCCAAATGATAGTGTCAACCCATCCCAATGAAATCATGACTCATAACAGTAGTCAACGGGAAAATAAGAAGCTTTCAATTGTGCAGAAAACCCGAGATCGGCGCCTGTGATCACAGTTACCGCTACTTGTTGGCCCGGCCAACAAAAGGGGCTTAGAATGCGGCTCCCCTTTGTTGTATTTAGATGGGCTATGGAGAGTGGTGCATGTGTGTGATCTATCCGTCATAAGGCACACGCCGCGTGGGTTTTCAAACGGCGGATTGGGTAACACAATGCCCGGCGGACAGATTAAGATATCAAAGTCAAAGTTCGCATAGCCGACGTTTTCGCGATGCGATGCACCGGGCTGTGACAAAACGGTGGGTCCCAGGCCTCAGAACAAGGTCCACTCAACACTCTTACTCGGCCACATAGAAATTTGATCTAGTCCGGGTGAGATGAGTGCACAGAAAAAAAATATATACTTGTTTAAAAATATTTTAATATACATATAACGGAATCAAAGTTTAAAGTTTAATCAAACCTTCAGAAATATGTGGGTATAATTATACGTTTTTTTAATATCAGTGCGAATCTAACCATGAAAACGTACGATTTTTAAATGCTTTCTAAATGTATTCAGTATAAAATATTAAACAACTTTTTATATTCTTATTTTGTTATTATTAATATAAGTTTTAAAAGTTTAAAGTAAATAAATTTACTTTTATGAAATATAAACGTTTTTTAATTATTACAATTACCCGAGACTTTTAAGGCCAGTTCAAAAATCAGCAATATAACAACCAGGCTTAATAACTTTTGTAACTTTCTAAAGAATGTGTGAATAGTTTTTAAAAATTTGAAGGCTTACCATTTATTATGCAAAGTGTGATTAAGAGCCTCATAAAATGTTTCCTGTGTGAGGGCATTAGAAGCTGGGATTGTGTTGCTGCTGTGGCTTTTGTGCCATGTCGTGTCTAATAATGCGGCGGTTAATAGCTTCGGACATTGTCTGCTTGACCAAACGTCTCCGCTATGGACAATTTTAATTAGACTCTTTGCCTAGCGGTTTGCGTGTGGGCCGGCAGTGTTTTTGCTTTTCCCCACCCAATGCCCCAGCCCTCGACTTTTCTGAACCGCAAAACTCGTTGACAGTTGGCGGACTTTAGTTGGCGACTCGGGCTCGGGCCGGTCATAAAGCGATTTTGTTTGCGTGAAAGCTGAGCCACGCTTACTGCACATTTTAGTGTCAGCTTAATGGCTTTAGGCCACGGCTACCACTGCCACCACTGGCGGCAACCTGAACCTGGGAAACTCTCGGTCAACTCACCTTTCTTCAGCAAACTGGAGGCATGCGGATTGCGGCTCTTTGTGCTCAGCGATGAACAGTTCCAGCGATGCCATTGAAACTGTTGGGAGAATGCAGTCAAAATAGGGGAATTTTAATGGTATTCAACGGTTAAGGAGTTCATTTAGACATAGGGAAAATGTGCCATCAAAGTACCTTTGAGTTTTTTTTTACTTTGATTACTTTCACTACACAAAACAAATCGAAAACTGAATTTCTTGCCCCGTTTACACCACCTAAATAAATTGTATACCACCTTATTCAGTTGTAAATGAATTAGACTTCTTTCAATCAAATTTAATTTACGTTTTTGATAGTTGTAAATATTTAAAGCCAACTAATGTTTCGGCTTCGAAAAGGTAGTTTAATGACTCTGCGCAAACCGAAATAATTAAATTACTGTGATATGCACTTGAATTATGAAAATACAATTGGAAAACATTGAAAATATCTTTTCTGAGGGTATTTACCCACCTGAATTTGACATTCACGTATGGCCATGTCGAGTCCTTCGAGAGCTGCCGCCGTCACATCACTGGCCTTGTAGCAGAGCTCCACTTGATCCTTGCTCAATCCAGGCACTGAACGGCAGGTGGCACGGCCATCCGGCAAGCCATAGAGCCTGAAACGAAATTACAAATATAATAAGCAAAAAATAAGCAAAGAATCCTAATGAAATGTTCTAAATAAACGATGAGAACATTTTTCAACGACTCTGCTTGCTTGGGCCCAGAATTTTAAATCCAATTAAAATTTGATTACAGCTACCAACCGCAGTTGGCAATAAATGCTCCGAAAAACTGAACCCAACAATTCGAAACCGTAATTAACCTTGAGTGGCTGGCACAAACCGCAGAAGAAACCCCAAAAAAAAGACTAAACTAATTTAATTTCATTTTGTTTTCGTTTCTCTAGATGTGAAATTAAATTTGCTTTTATTTCATCTGAGATTTAATCGAGCTATTCACAGCGAAGCTGGTTGAGACAGTAGCTAAATATAATTTTTGTTACCAAGTTTGTCATAAATCTTTTTGTCAAATTGCTGGGCGATGATTCACTACCGTCTGCAGCAACCAAAATAAACTCTGGACTAGATGTACGATTCTTAACCCTACAATACCAACTAACCTATTATTAAATAATCTATAATTCTCTGTTAAAAGGGAAATTAAAATGAAATACTTAACCACTTGGACCGCTTAGATGCTTGGACTTATTCAAAAATATTGATTTAATCTTCAACAGTTATTCCAAATAATTTGAATTTCGATTTATGCTATTGGAATGTATGTAATTCTTTTTTTTTTAATGTCTTTAAAGTTAATATCCGACATATTATATATGTTCGTAAAGAGGGTTAACAATTTCGCTCCCGACTGAACCCATTTAAGAGCGGGCCGTGGCATTCAAGGTCAGCTAAGTTGAGTTAAGCTGAGCCGAGGTGTTCAGATCTTTGGCCAGAGATACAGATACGAGTTTTTTTTCGATTTATTTTCCTGATGTAGTATGTGAGTGAGTGCCAGTTGACGTTGAACAACTTCATCTGACTTTAGCCATAGGTCTAACTTCAGCTGATGTTGTGGGTAAAGTTGTTGCCACATCGCGACTTGCATCGCTTTGGAATCGCGTTGAAATCGCGTTGATCTACGACACGCAGCGAGGAATACCGGGCGTATACGTGATGTGCGTCTGGCGTCTGCAGCTTAAAATCGTTGGTAAATATATATTTTCTTAATGCCCAGACTTACTCTCTGCTGCTGCTGCTTCTTCCTCGCGGGGTTAATTGTGGCACGTCGCGTGTAGGAAAAACGAACAAAAATGCCTCAAATGTGGAAACGTGCCATTTTCACACACGTCTCTGTGCTGCAAAGACGCGAAGATTTAGAGATCCTCATCGGCATTGCGCCTCATTTGTATGCCATTCGCAGCTTCAACGTAACTGCAGTCGTTGATTTAGCCAACCGAGATCAGCAGATGTCAAGATACGCACAGCAGGTTCATATAATTTAAGAAATTTGTCGCTTTAAGTGCTGAATTCACATATAAAGTTCCCAAAGGACTGAAAATATTACTTTTTTGGAACTAAAATTTAATACCAGAAAAAATTTTAATTCATAAACTAATAGCCTAAATTATTATCCCATTCACCAGTGATTTTCATCAATTAAAGTTTATCAAAAGTATTAAGACCGTTACCAACGACTACAATATTTAATGATTTTTTACGGCCTTACAAAAAACAGAAAATTTAATTTCAAATATTATCTTAAATGCCAACAAACATAATTTGAATCTAATAAAAAAGTTATTGAGTCAACAGTTCTAACTTTCCCACATCGGTATTTACCAATCGAAGCAACAAAACTGCAATTTAAATATCAAGCCAGGAAAAACGAGGATTAAAAAACCCGAACAACTTCTTGGGCAAAATGCATTTTAATTGGCTGACGTTTCTGCGATACGAATGTGAATATGCAATGCGGGCCAGACATCTCGCCAGATAAAGAATTTAAACTGATGCACATTTTGTTAACAGCTTTATAAAGCATATGGCTTTTAGTTACCATTGCCGATGCCATTTGCCGACTTCAATAAAACTGATAAGCAAACGTAAAGAGAGAAAGAGCAGTGCACTAAAAAAAAATTATTTAAGCTCACATCATCGAATATATAAAAGCAAATATTTGTTTTTTCTTTGGCTACCGTTTTAAATAATATAATAATATTAAATGAGTAGATTATTTGACTTTACTTTACAATACTAATTTATAAAAATGTATTTGACGATAATTTATTTTTATACACCCAATCATAAGTGGATAATAAAATATCATAATAATAACGTGCTCTATTTTAACATCTAAGAAGTATGATTTTTTTAAATGTAATTTTATAAATTTGTTTCTGTGCACTCAAAGTGCCTGATCCGCCGGTCTGAGGACTCTGAGTCATGCATTTCAAGCCAGTTCAGTTCCCAGATTCTTCGTTTGCGTATTTCACGCGATGCGATAGCAATGCAATTGATTCGCTTATAAAATTTATCGATCGTTGTTCCCTCGAAAAGGAGCGAAGACGTTTGCTTATCAGACTCAAAGAGTGTTGGGGCCAAGATAAAAGCCGGCAACTGGCCAGCTCTAAATTTAATTTCGATTTTCATAACTGCTACAGTCCTTTCTCACGCTCGATGATTCTCGAGTTCTATTGAAATGCCATAAAAAGATTGAGGCTTTAATAGGCGCCGCCACAGCCAGACTTTTTCTCCCGTTTTTTTCCCTTTTTATATATTTCTTATTTTTTTTGTCTGGGTCTGTCAAACGGTAGCCCATGCATAAATCAAGGATTTCTGCTGCTATTTCGGCTTATGCCTTCAGCGAACTTTACTATATATACACAATCTTTGTTATTCAGCTAGCCTAAGCCAGTTAGGCAAAACAATATTTCCCACACAGAGATAGATACAGACGGATAGCCGGAGATTGAAGCATTTCAGGCCGGGCAGATAACTTTGGTGGAGACATTCCTGAACAGTTTGTTTGGGCTGGAAGGGGGGATTGAATTCGGGCGACCGCAGCAACAGCTAGGAATGTCTTTGATCTAATCCGTTCGTACAGGGTGATCCGGCATAAAAAATATTTCATTTCCATACCCAGAAAGAGTCTTTTTTGGCAATTAAATTCAATTATAACATATTTTCAAAGTTTTTAAGTTTGCATCACCAAAAATATAAAAAAAGAATGGGTTTACAAAATTTAAAGGGATTATAAATAATGGTTTGTTAAGAATGATGAAAAAATAGTCGTAGTCGGAAAAAAGCATAAGGCGAACCTAAGCAATGTCTTTAATTCTGTTTTAATTTAGAAATCCCAAACTTTTAAATGGAAACGGTAAGCTAGTTAGGCATTAAATTTAAAGAATAACACATTTTTAATATTTTTTTATATAATAAATGAAAGAAAATATTTTCTTTAACTCAAAAACCTTTGATTGCAGAAATATGCATTTTTTAAGAAAATTCCTTTTAAAGCGGTGTTTAATTTTTGTAAAAATGTTATAGTTATTCAATTCAATTGAATATTAAATTATCTGTGAGACCATAAATAAGAATCACTTTATTTTTGGTCTGTTTTGACAAAGTTATGCTTAAGAATATAGTGAGGCAAGTCAAAATTGGTAAGCATTGATTTGCGCAGAACAATATTATGCTGGCCGGCGAAAGCGCCTGGTGAATTAGCAACTTTTGGCTCATAAATAAATTTACTTCAAGTTGGAGGTGATGGGAGAAAAAAACACCTGAAGAACCCTTGAACGTGTGAAATCTGCTGCAGTGTTGGCTTACCTGTGCGCAGGTGTTCTGTTCGGTGGGTGTGTGTGCACCCAATTAAGCTGCAAACTGCAGAACTGGCGACCCGGAGGCGTGGCACTTCGGCAATTCATTTGCATTTCAAACGGGCGAAATTGTGACGCACCCACACATGTGTGGGCCTCATTATGCGTTGCAATTATGACGTTGCAACTACAAGGATGACGAAAACAACGACGAGAAGAGCAACAACAACGCCAGCGAATTGCAGGCTGCACTTCAGTTGCAACATCGCTGCATTGCTGCACTGCTGCAGTCTCAACAAGCTGAGCAAAAAGTATGTTGACAACCCCAAGGAACTGAAAAAGGTTGAATTACTCTGGGACTTGAAGACGTCAACACCCTTACGCACTGATCGCTTTAAAATGATTCTTTGGAGTTCTTAAATTTGTTAAAAAGGTAAGGTAAGCAAAAATCAAAAATAATATTACTTTTAAAATGATCAAACTCTTTAGCTTTTTTTGAAACAACATGAAAGATTTAAAGAAAAATAAAATTAACAATAATAAATTAAGTTTGTAAAGGTATGGTTATTATAATTATAATAATTAAAAGTATACTTTGAATTTTAAAAAAAGTGTTTGTGCAATTCATCAATGTAATTGGCGCATACAGTAACATTAGTAGCTCTAAAGAAATATCGAGTATTACATTTTTATGTTGAATTATTAAAATGACACTGAAAACCTGGCTAGACCTACTAAAACCAAACTAATTTTTATTCACAGGATATGGGTAATAGCGTAAAGTACCTTTCGTTAGTGTATGACAACAACGAGAGTAACGAGATTAACAAGCTGCAACTACTAGGCGAGGCAACCAGTCAGGCAAGGCGAAGTAATGCAACCAGCATCCAGTATCCAGCATCCAGCATCCATCCCTGCTCCCTGATGCTCCCTGCTCCATGGATTATGGACCCTGTTCCCAGCTCCGCCTCACTGCGCACATGGAAAATCGAGAGATTGACAAGCGACCCAGGCGCATTATAAAACTTGAGTACCGGGGACCACCCTGCAATTTGGAATGAGCTGAGCTCAATTGTGTGTAGGCCCCCGTGGTTTAGCAACTGCGAACATTGGAGGGGATTCCGATTCCGATCCCTATCCAGCGACAGACTGCAATCCCAACTCCAATCATCCACTGCCACGGGAGCCGTTGGCAATTTTATTTGCCTTCTAAAATGGCGGTCGTTGTTTGGCCTGGTCTAACATGTAAGTTGCCATTTTTGTTTGCATGGCCACCAGTAAGGTTTGTTAGTCGGCGAATGTATTAGCCAAACAATCGATCATTTTTCAAAAGAATTTGTAAGGAAATTAATCATATCATATCACAAATTTAGTAAATCTGTAGATATTTTTATTTGACTTCCTTATCAAAAGAATTTTATTCGAAAAAAAAAAAACATTTATAAACATTAATGTTTGTGTTTGAAAATATGTAAAAAATTTAGTTTCCATAACTGTTCAAAGAGTCTTACTTCAACCAATTTAAAAATTTGTTTATTTTTATATTACAAAAAGTTAATTGAACTCTTTTAAGAATTAAACAACTTATTTAATATAATATAACCATATATATTTCTCCGACCAGTTAAAAACTTTGTGACATGTTTTAGGCGATAAAAAAGAAGATTTTTATATAGTTGTGAAACTGATATACTTATTAAATGTAAAATAAAATAGTTACCAAAGTAAAATGTTTAAAACGCATTTTAAAAACAATTAGCACAGTTTCATTTCCCAAAAACCATGCGTGAAGGTGAGAACAGCCTGTTCCGCTCCATGTAATTTCCACACCGCAACAATCGCGTGTTAATCGGGCACAATTAGGTTAGCTTAATTTCCCTAGCCTATCACTAGATCAATATTAATTATGCCAACACCTTCGGCTGACAGCTGTTTCTCCCAGCTCGCGATTGATTAATACGTTGTTCGCTGTTGTTGCTTGTCGTTTAATTAATTAACTCGCCAACAGCAATAGCCACCGTATATATAAAACACGGCGTAATGAGCCGACTTGAAGTTAATTTGTCGACAGGCCTTTTACAGTGCGGAATTTTGCTTTACATACTTGTGAATAATGGTGATGGATTTGGTTTTAGGATAGAATGGGCATGGGATGGAACTCGGGACTTGGGACTTACCAACGTGTGCAGCAGGCCAAGATAATCACAACAATTAAATGCAAATTGCAATGGCGCGATGTTGCCGGTGTGGCGGCAACCAGGTTGTTGCTGCTGCTTCCTACTTCTTGTTGCTGCTGCTGCTGTTGCTGTTGCTGTTGCTCGTGGCCTTTTGATGTTGCTCGCCACGCAGTCATCGCTCGGCTTTGATTTGCATATATTTTCATACAATTGCTGCCAAATGTTTAATTGCACTGCATTTTCGTTAGTTAATTTATCACTGGGCACCGTATCTTTGGTCGTTGCAGGGGCATTTGAATTCGTTTGCAGGGGCCGAGCAGCAGGAAACATTTTGTAGAGCTCATTTGAAATATCTTGAACTCTTTTCCTTTTGGTCCTAAGTCTTTCACATTTTTTGTTAATTTTGCTTTAATTGGGGGATTGTTTTAGTGCCTCAAATAGAGTTTCTAAAATAAAGATTTTAAATGCAAATAAAAATTTTGTTTTGTTTTTTGCTATTTAATATTTACATGAAGTAAATATAAAATTTTTGTGCGTTTTAAGTGAATCATCAGAGTTTAATTCCCTTTCTGTTGATCAGGCATACCGTCAACGTCTTTATTATAACGTCATTTATTTTAATATAGTTTTTTAATTAATAATCAATAATCGGCCTTTGTTAAATTGAAGTTGTCACTTTTGTCTTGTAAGTAATTAATAAACTCAATTCAGATTTTCTTCTTATTACACAAAATTGATTTGATTAAAATTTTATTGCTCTTGGGGACTCCTTTCTTTCAGTCTCTCCATTTACCACAATTTTCTTCGAATTAATTTAATTTTTCACTTAACCAAAGGCCGAAGACCGACCATTCGACAATCTGCTTGGCTTTCAACGTTGAGCTCAACTCTGTGGCTACTGGCTGGATAGCAAAAATCGTTTTCTCGTAATGTTTGTCGTTACATTCGTTATTTTTTTATTTTTTCCCATTTACAATCGTTTTTGCCCCGGCACCAAGAGGAGACTGGGTTTGTCCGATTGGTCTGTAATACAAGTTTCGGATTCTTGTAGGTTTTGCATTAAGTCTTTCCTCGGTTTTTGCTCTTTGCTTCTGTTTCTGGGTGGTTTGCGTACTTTGATTTGATTCGTTTTGCGGTTTTTTAGGAAGGTTGTTGCTTGGTGTGTGGCAATCGAACCAAGAATGGCGAATTTAATTTAAAATTTTATTGGTTTTCAATAATTGGGTAGTTGAAAAGTTAATTATACAACTGTTTTTCTTTTTTTTTAATTATTTAAATTATTTAAATATTCTTGACTATTGCGGAGAGCTTAGAGACTTGTTTCATTTCAAAAAGAAGTCTTATTCAAATTTAACTGTATGTAATTTTTACTTTTACTTTTGTGTTTATCTAAACAATTTTATTGAATTTGTATTCTTTTTAAAAATTATTATTTTTAAATAAATACTGATCCCTTTTAAATTACAACTAATTTCTTTCGCTATTACTTGTTTAAAGGTTAAAATGGAAAATATGTTTTTTTAATTAATATGGTTTAGCAATGTTTTCGTTTTTAATTTAATATATTATTTATCACACAAAATATTTAGATTTGAAAGATTAAGCAGTTAAGTTTATTGATTGATTTATTAATATATATTTTTTTCTCACATTTTTGTTAAAAATTAAATATGAATTGTGATTGATATGGGATGCTTTTTATTTACGGCACGGAAGACACAGGACACGAACGTCCTGCCAGCTAAACGATTCGCGCGACTATGACACGAGAGCCAAGCTCGCCAGCCTCTAAATGCAAATTAAAATTGAAATATTTGAAACATAGGCTGGCTTCGTTGTTATCGCCATCTACATCGTCGGCTATTCTCGTTGTCCTCGCATCGTCCTCGTCATCAGCCTCGTTGTCCTGTGCGTGTTATCCTGGGAATTACGGATTCATGAGTGTGGGACTTTCGTTGGGAGGTGGATGTGGAATGTGCGCGTGCCTTTCCGTTGGAGGGTGAATTCCCGATTCCTGGCTCAGCGACTGGCTGGCGAAAGTACAAATACATCAAAGGATGCAAACACCAACAAACACACAGGATATATTGAGGCAGGGCTGCTCATTCTGTTTGCGTTTATCGCATGCGAGAGAAAGTCCTTGTTATCCTTGATTATGCGCTCCAATTAACACATTGGGATAGGATTATAAATGCATTAGTAAAGACACTATAATAATGGTTATAAAAATGGTTTATAAAAACTTGAACAATTATAACTTCCCATAAATAGTTACAATTGACTATGTAAACGTAAAGAAAAAACTAGTAGTTTGGTTGAAACTATTTTATACTTATTTTAATATATCTGGCATTTAAAGCATAATATATTCTTGTATAACCTTTAATTTATTTTAAATTGAATTGATAAAACTCCTGCTGTAGTAACACATTTTTATTGCATTTAATTGATTTAAGATTTAACCCCTGTCGGCATCTTGACACCTGACTGCCTGTCTGGCCTTTAAAGACTGATTAAGCAGCCTCCTTGTGTTTTTGTTGCTGTGGCAAGGACACACGACCGAGTGCCACTTCTGCTGAACATCAAAGGGTTTACAACAAAAGTGAAACTGGTGCAGTGTCGCCATCATCTCGCTGTCCTCCTCACTCTCATGTCATTGTTGTCCTGTCAAGGACTCCAATTATTGCAATTTCGTTCTTTTGTTGTTGTTGCTTGCCTTTGAAATATGCTAATTTATATACTCGAGGCGGCGAAAAACAAAGGCCGAGGCAATTGATTCACGTCTGCTTTCTTAGTTAGTTCAAGGGGTTAAGTGTGGGGGTTTTTGGGGGACATAAGGAAACAGTGCAAAATATGGGTCGTTTAGGCGGGCGGCTTTTCTTTTATTTTCATTTGGACCGTGTGTGTGTTTGCGTGAACTTAACCCTCTTTGACTTTTCACTCGCTACTTGTTACACTTCAAAGGGATTTTCTGGGCGAGCTGAAGGGACACTTGTTGCCAGCTGTTTTCGTATGCAATATGTTGTGCCTATTTAAAGAAAAATATACAATAAATTTAACGTAACAAAAGTTCTGTGCACTTAAAAGATCAATGAAAATTCTTAACAACGGGGTCACTAATCATTTTTAATACAATTAAAAGAACTTGGCGATCATAAATTGTCTGTCAAATTAAATTTAATAATGCCAATTGTGGGGCAACGTCACTGACAAATAATATTATACAAAATAATATTGAAAAACGGTTTAATGTTTGAAATCTATTTACATTATATTGAATCTTTTCTGCACAAAATATATTAAAGATCCTTAATTCTGACTCAAATGATTGCTTGTACTTAGCCTTGTTAGCTGTTGAATGGAAATTCCTTTCCGTCTACTTGCGCACAATGTTAATGTTAAAGCTCATTAAAAATTATCCGTTAACAGCTTCGACCCCGAGCATTGCATATCTCATTCAGCTTACTTCCCCATCCATTTTGCAGGCACTCAAACCGCAAAAGAAACCACAAAAACAAAAAAAAGCGGAAAAAACGGAGACAAACAACGGGCGTTTGACCATCACATCTACCGCATACAATTGCCATGAATCACCATCACCTGGCGGTGGCTTCAACTGCTTTTGGGCCGGGTTCTGCCATTTGTGCCTTCCATCGCCTCCGGCGGACGAGAGGAACATCCATCAATGTGCCGTTGACATTTGCTTGGACCGCTGACAAGAATTGTCACAATAAACAATACAACCACGACGACAACAAGAACAATGTTGGCAATGAGCAGGACACGTGACGTGATCAGGAGCAGAATCAGAAGCAGGAGTTGGAATCAGCCCGATGATTAGTTCGGTAAGTGGCAGCCTTTTTCGGATGAGGGACGCATAAATTACCGAAAGGATTAACCAACCAACCAACCAGACTCAGACTCAGACAGCTGAGGGACAGAAGGGTAGAATCATTGTTTTTGCCAATGTTCAGTGAACTGTAAGGGATTCCACCGGAACAAGGAATCCGTTGCCGAAGTTGGGGGTTAACGCTCAGACGCGGGTCTGGGGTTAAGCATCATGTTTAAATTACAATCAGATCAATTTCACAGATATTATTTGGGCCATGGCAAGTGTTGATGGAATACCACTGCAGGCGAGGGGTGGCTTTCTTATTGAATTTTCAAAAAAGGGAAAGCTATCTAGTGAATTCATGCCAATTAGGGAGCAAACTTACTGGAATTTTATACTTTGAGTTTCCAAAAATCTGATTTTATAGCTTGGTATTCTCGAAAAGTTAGAAAATAAATTATTAGTCAATTAATAATAAACTATATTTAATTTACATTTTATCCCTGAAAAGTGGGAGAAAGAAAATGAAAAATTAATAATTTATGAGCTATACATTTTCTATGTTTGTGTTTTTTTTTTTTGCAGGTCGATAATTTTTTTAGAAAGTTACATTTTTTTTAGATTCTATTCGTGTTATGTTATTTATAATCAAAGGGCTTCCTTTTTTTCAAACCACAAAAAAAACTAGATAATTATAAGCTCACCCACTGATGCCATAATAAGGCCAATCCTCCAAAACAACATCGATTGGATATTATGACTGCAGGTGTGCCCTCGCCAAAGTTCAAAACAATTTGCGCTCATTAAAAAGGAAAAATCCATGAAAAATTAATCATAATGACGTCGCCCAGGGTTACCGAAAAACGAGCCACCATAATTTAGTTAATTTTCAGTTTGGCTTTATTTTGGCCTTTTTGCTGCCGCCATTGCGGTTGATTTTTGTTTTAATTAACTCGAAACGATGGCGCGTTCATAAATCCTGACAAAAATCTGACAAAATGACGCAAATTTTCGCGTCGAAGAAATATCTCTTCGGCGGAGTAAGAAATAAAAATAAAAATTAAGCGAAAATTAATCGAAGTAATTTTGCGAGCAGCTTCTGCCCCGCAAAGTCGGGCGACATAGCGAACATAACTTGTGGAATTCTTGGGGCCAAAGTGGCACAAGGTAAAAGGGTTTGTGGGGCCGGTGCTCGGATCTTGGGTCTTTCGTATGGGAAAAATTCCGCTGTCCTCCAATCAGTGCACACAGTTTGCATTGCCCTGACATGAAAAAGAAATCAGTGCAGGGCTCGCTCTTCCTTCTCTTTCCCCTTTTTTTTTTGTTCACAATTTTCGGTTGCTGATGTGTGGGAAAATTTTTCAATTTTAATTGCACGTTGCGCGTTGTCGTCCCAAAATTTAAACAGCCGATATCCCTGGGCCCACCTACAAATCTCGCCCGGCTGCCTGCTGTAAGGGTTAAGAGATCACGGGGGTTGGGAGTTCCACAGCGGGATGGGGAGGGGGGACTCACAAAGTTCGTATAGCTCGCGTCTGCATACCAGGAGCGCCTTTCTATGAAAATTCCTGGCAGCATCTCGTCGCAGCCGCGACTGGCATCCCAGCTATGTTTTGGCTCTCAACTATGCAAGCGGAGCTTCCGAAGTCTGTCCCGCCCTCGACCCTCCCCACCACCCCTTTTCTGGGGGAATACCCCTTGTGGTACCGCCCCTGTCTCGGTGCGCGGTCATGTCAAGTTTAGCAACCACGATGCAGGGGAGTTGGCGGGAAGGCGTAGCTTTGCGTAAATTACAATTAAAAATTGTTTCAAGTGGTTTACAAACCACAGCACGCACACAACTCCGCAACGAGCTGGTGGAAGCAATCCTCAGCTGCCCAGGGATGGATCGGAATAATATATGTTAAGCTTTTATGTACAATAAAAAAGACACCTTACAAAATTAATACCTTTCTTATTCTGTTGTTATTCTTTTTAAAGTACTTTAAGCGATGGTAAAAGTAAAGAAAACTTGATAAGTATCATTCAGCCTATAGTTACTTTTTTAAAGGAACAGTTTTATAATGAAAAAGTCAGTTCTTTTTGTTGATTTTTTTTCTTTAAGTATTAAGAAAAAGCCCATCTTTTAACAACTAAATGTGCATTATATGTGCTTAATGATTTTAATTGGTTGTTTTAATGAACTTTAGTTTTCTTTTTATAACGTATACTTCTCAATTACTTTTATAACTTACTGTCAATAAATCAATTTTACTGCAGCCCTTTGGGGACGATGGTTAGTTGGACTTGGACTGTCCGGCGCTCATTCACATCATCGTCGCCGTTGTGGTCATCATCATCATCAAAATGAAAGTTCAAGTGCATGGCACTCCACTCGTTGGGTCCAGCGGCCATCTTGGCTTTATGGTGAGTGCCAACCAACCAGAAGAAGTGCCTGGGCGCATGGAATGGAGATGGATGGAGATGATATGGGGGCACCTACGGGAAGATGAGGGATCGGAATGGGCAGCCGACCAACGACTCCATTGTTGCTGTGCTTTATGACGTTGATGTGGCGCTGAAAGTCGACTGCATTCGTCATCCAACAAGTTGCAGCAACAGTTGGCCAAAAAACCCGATGGGGGAAAAAACGTCCGGAGGCTGTGGAATTTGCAGATGCATTCTCATTGGAGAGGCTGCAGAGTGAAAACCTAAACGCATTTGGCCATTGCTGCCTGTGACTTTGATTTGCTGCTGTCATTTTGGACGTCTTACGATCTCTTTGCTGCACTGCCATCCGGCAACTTCATTTTGTTTGCCGGCTGGCGAACGGATGCACTCCAATTCACATCCAACCCCCTGGTTTCCAATGCGCATGTCTGCGGTTCCCCGACAAAATGAACGCCCTGTGTGGGTGGAGCCAAAATGGG